AAGGAAACAACAACAATCAACAGGGAAATAATAACCAAGGAACCAACAATCAAGGGAATAACAATCAACAAGGCAACAACAACAACAATCAACAAGGGAATAACAATCAGCAAGGAACCAACAATCAACAAGGCAATAATAACAATCAACAGGGAAACAATAACCAAGGAAACAACAACCAAGGGAACAGCAATCAGCAAGGGAATAATAACCAACAAGGATCCAACAATCAACAAGGCAACAACAATGGTAACAATAACCAAGGAAGTACCAACCAAGGAAACAACAATCAGCAAGGAAACAATAACCAGCAAGGAAATAATAATCAACAAGGAGCCAACAATCAACAAGGCAACAACAATGGTAACAATAACCAAGGAAGTACCAACCAAGGAAACAACAATCAGCAAGGAAATAATAATCAACAAGGAGCCAACAATCAACAAGGAAATAATAACCAAGGAAACAACCAAGGGAATAACAATCAACAAGGGAATAACAATCAGCAAGGAAACAACAACCAACAAGGTTCCGATAACCAACAGAATCAAAACGGATCGAATCAAGTCACCACAGGTCAAATATCAAATAACAAATGCGAGAAAGAAGGTTTCGTAAAAGATGAGAGTAATTGCAGAAAATTCTATAGATGCGTAAGTGACGGAAAGGGTAGCTACATAAAATACGAGTTTTCTTGTGCTGAGGGTACCGTATGGGACGAACGGACACTGTCCTGCAATTACCCATGGGCAGTGGAAGGAAAATGTTCCCAAGGCACTGGAAATAATGCCCAGAATCAACAAGGAGGTTCCGATGGCAACCAACAGAATCAACAAGGCTCCAATAACAACAATAACAATAATCAACAAGGGTCAGGGTCTAATCAACAAGGTTCTGATAATAACCAACAAAATGGCGATAACCAACAGAATCAATCAGGGTCTGATAATAATCAACAAAACCAACAGGGTAATGGAAACAATCAGCAAAATCAACAAGGCTCTAATAATAATAATAATGACAATAATAATCAGCAAAATGAACAGAACAATCAACAAGGAAACAACAACAATCAACAGGGAAATAATAACCAAGGAACCAACAATCAAGGGAATAACAATCAACAAGACAACAACAACAACAATCAACAAGGGAATAACAATCAGCAAGGAACCAATAATCAACAAGGCAATAATAACAATCAACAGGGAAACAACAACCAAGGGAATGAATCTGGTTCCAATAATAATAACCAAAATCAACAAGGCGGTTCCAATAACAACCAGCAAGGAAGTTCTGATAACAATCAACAGAACCAATCAGGTTCCAATAATAATCAACAGAATCAAGGTGCATTGACCGATAATAAATGCACTAAAGAAGGGTTTGTCGAAGATGATCAAAACTGTAAGAAATTCTACAGATGCGTGAATGACGGCAAAGGTGGATTTATAAAATACGAATTTACATGCCCAGAGGGTACAGTGTGGGATCAAAATTCAGTGTCTTGCAATTACCCGTGGGCAGTAACTGGAAAATGTCAAGAAAATAACGGTCAAAATAACCAAAATCAACAGACCGGTCAAAATCAACAAAACCAACAAAATGGCCAGAACCAACAAAATAATGGCCAAAATCAGCAAAATCAACAGAATAATGGACAAAATCAGCAGAACCAACAGAATGGACAGAATGGGCAAAATGGCCAAAATCAGCAGAATCAACAGAATAATGGACAAAACCAACAAAATGGCCAAAATCAGCAGAATCAACAGAATAATGGACAAAACCAACAAAATGGCCAAAATCAGCAGAATCAACAGAATAATGGTCAAAATCAGCAGAACCAACAGAACGGCCAAAATGGCCAAAATCAACAAAATCAGCAGAACCAACAGAATAATGGACAAAATCAGCAGAATCAACAGAATAATGGACAAAATCAGCAGAATCAACAGAATAATGGACAAAATCAGCAGAACCAACAAACCGAACAAAACGGTCAAAATCAACAAAATAATCAACAAACAAGCGGAACAGGCACTACCTGTTCAAACGAAGGCTTCCTAGGCGATCCCAACGACTGTAAAAAATTCTACAGGTATTAATTCAAAACACCGCCAATAAATATTTTTATTATAACAAATCGTTATTTCACAGATGCGTCGCCGACGGCAAAAACGGCTACACCCGTTACGAATTCGCCTGTCCAGAAGGCACCGTTTGGGACACGGAACACGTAACTTGCAACTACCCATCTGTCGTCACAGGAAACTGTCAACAAACAAGTCCCACATCAGGATCAGGAAATCCCCCAACCGAGAGTTCTCCAATAGAAACCACCAAACCTAGTCAGGGAGAATCGCCAAATAATGGAAATAATGGATCTAACAATGGAAATAACGGATCAAACAATGGAAATAATGGATCAAACAGTGGAAATAATGGATCGAACAATGGAAACAACGGATCAAACAATGGTAATAATGGATCGAACAATGGAAACAACGGATCAAACAATAGTAATAATGGATCAAACAATGGAAATAATGGTTCAAATAATGGATCAAACAATGGTAATAATGGATCGAACAATGGAAACAACGGATCAAACAATAGTAATAATGGATCAAACAATGGAAATAATGGATCAAACAATGGTAATAATGGATCGAACAATGGAAACAACGGATCAAACAATAGTAATAATGGATCAAACAATGGAAATAATGGATCAAACAATGGTAATAATGGATCGAACAATGGAAACAACGGATCAAACAATAGTAATAATGGATCAAACAATAGTAATAATGGATCAAACAATGGAAATAATGGATCAAACAATGGTAATAATGGATCGAACAATGGAAACAACGGATCAAACAATAGTAATAATGGATCAAACAATGGAAATAATGGATCAAACAGTGGAAATAATGGATCGAACAACGGAAATAACGGATCAAACAATGGAAATAATGGATCGAACAATGGAAATAATGGGTCAAACAGTGGAAATAATGGATCAAACAGTGGAAATAATGGATCGAACAATGGAAACAACGGATCAAACAATGGAAATGGAGGGTTGCCAAGTAATCCAGGAGACTCGAGCAATACTGGAGCTTCTAGACCTTGCCCTATTGGACAACTGGAAGGCGATCAGGTGGCATTGGTGTGTCCCACTGGTTTCCGAAGACATCCCAGGTACTGCAATCTATTCTACCAATGTACCACAGGTCAAAACGGATACGACTTCAAAATCTTGGTACTGAGCTGTCCGAATGGCTTAGTCTTCGACGACAAGAAGATACAATGTTTACCACAAAACGAAACCACAATACCATGCCAAGGACAAATCGCTACAGATACTTTGTTCAGGAAATTAGAAGATAATTCTATACCACCGGTAAGTTACTGGTAGCATCCCTTTAAATATATGTTAACATCGCATCCTTTTGCAGCTACAAATAGGCAACACGGGGCCCCTGTGTCCCCACGAAGGATACTTCGGCGCGGAATCGTCGGCGTGCAGCGCGGATTTCATCAAATGCCAGAGATCCGCGGGTAGCCAGCACCCGTTCGAGGGGTACGTGTACCAATGTCCGGAAGGATTCGCCTTCTGGAGCATCAGCAGGCGCTGCGAAAGGACCAGCAAGCTGCTGAACTGCATCGGGGACGATAGGGAATATTACAAGGAGCGTTCGAAGTGGCAATTGCCGATCGAGCGAGGGAACGTGTCGTATAGGAGACGGAAGAGCGCGTATCTTTGGTAGATTAATGTGGAGTGATTTTTGTATACTATTTTTTTTAAATAATTCAATGCGATTGTTTGGTTGGAATAATTGAAATTCCTTAACGAATTATCATCATTATTACCACACATGCATGCTATTATTATTGTAATCGATTATACCATTTGATTGAAGATGATATACTGAATATTTCCGCGAGATTTTCGAAATATTGGGTATATTTTTAATTGATAAGTGTAAAGTTTGACTGATTTTTTTTAGTTAAAAAATTAAAACAGCGACATTAAAATTACTCGTTATTGATTTTAACGTCGCTTTTTCGGGTCTGGGTTTCGGTAATTTATTATTTTATTAACAATTTAGCAAACTTATTAGCTATAATTTTTTTGTACTGTATAAAATAGAAAACGCCAATATTTTTGTAGAAAAAAAATAATTAATAAACACATGAAAAATCAGCAGCCTTTTGTTATTGTTATTTATATCACTCGGTATTTACAAACTAAGAAACGTCCCAAATTAAAATTGTTTAAATATTTGTCACATAATCCCAAGGTTAGTAACTGATGCATTAAAAAAATTATTTTATTATTTTATGTTGTACTGTATGCAGTAAAACTGTGCATCTCAAAGTTATTAAAATGGTAAGTGCATAAAATTAGTAAATTGGTTGTTTATAGAGAAAAATTAAGTAGATGATGTACATTAAATGATTATAAAAAGCTTATAAAATAAATTTATGCAATAATTGATGAGAGAATTGTGATAAATTGAACGGTATATGCTTGTACTTTATAGTGTTCTAACTTATACCATTAAATAAAGTAAGTTTGATAATTGTTACAAAATAAACGGTTTTTTATGGCGAACTGTCAACTGTAAATTAAAATAATACGCCAATTATTAACGAGGCCAATAATAAAAGAGAAGAAGAACTATGGTTTTTTCAAAACATATTCTTCAATAATGTGACCTCAGCTACTGCGGCTATTCGGCCTAAAATTCAACACAATTTTATAAGATTGACAAATTTTACTTCTGTTAAAATTTCCGATTTTTCAAGGCATTCCGATAAATTAATGAAAATAACTCGCCTGTCAATGTCTAACGATTCGAATGTCATAATATTCCGCCGAGCATTATGAGCTCTTAATCAACATTTTACACTTTTAATTTAAAACCGTATATAGTCCGTTCATTGCAGGAAAAATCATATTGAACAGTAACCGTTTTTTTTCTAGAATGATGTCCAAATTTAACACCGAAGAAAAATCGCCGCTTCTATTCGTCTTGGACGCCGAAGACGATCTATCGCGCTCCCGATACTTCGACAGGAGCCGATTCAGCGGAATCTCGACGGGAGCCACGGCTGTTTTCACGCAGTTCCCAAGTAAATCACTTTATTTTTTCCTATTTATTTCTCAAATCAAATTTTAAATCGCCGGCACAGAACCACAAATAAAGCGGAATATCGACAACTGACATTCACTATTGCCAACTTAATTAGCACACTAGCAATGAGCTTGTAAAACATGTTGCCTATCAACGAGGTATTTTGAATACGAATATTACACAATTATTACAATATTACCTAATAATAATTAATAATAATATGAGTTCATACAATTACCTACATAGAATACTTACATTTAATTTAGTTCCACTCAAAATCACCAACACAATAACATATTACACAAAATCCAAGGTAACGTATATCTTTAAAATCACCATTGATTTACCTTAATGTTCTTTTTTAGATTACATAAATCCCTGTTGGTTGATGACGGCCCTTTGCAGCATCGTCTTCTTCATGATGTTCTTCATACTAGTATCTCTGATGACGGCAGTGACGTTCAAAATGCCGAGATGCACGGCAATGGGCGATGAAACGTTCAACAAAACCATCCATTTGGTGCACGTGCATCAGCCGTACCGCGAAGCCGACCAAATCAGGATCATCGAGGACCTGATGGCCGTTAAATCCGATTACAATATTCGAATTTTGTCTATTTCCAATGGCGTTGAACATCCTGTTAAAGGAACCGATGCACCTAACAGTACTTATACAGAGGTGGTGACTACGAGAGCAACTACTGCGTCTACTGTTAGGCCGGGCGCAAAATGAAGCGCAGCTTGGTGAGGTGACGCAGCGTGAGTCACGGTGAGATTTGGAAAGGGGGTAACTGCCAGCGCGAAAGCCGCGCAAATAATACCGCAGTTGTAATAACCTGCTTGCGCTTTCAAGAACCCAGTTGGTTTAACAAGATGGAAATAGCTTCCGCCCTTACGTTTGAGTTTAGTTCTGAATCTGATTCGGAAGATGAGTTCATGTCCGATGTTGTATCGATGACCTTAAAAACGAGTAATAAAAAGGCAGCGAGAAGTTCATACATAAAAAAAAGGAAAACTCACGGAGAATTCGCTCTAACCAAAGAATTTAACGATGCACAGTTTAAAAATTATTTTCGACTAAACCGTGATCAGTTTAGTGAAGTGCATGAGATCATCAAGAAAGAAATTTACGCAGAAGGATGTAACGCTACAAGGCCCATCGGGACGGAAGAGAAACTAGCTGTTTTTCTAAGGTAAGTTATTTTATTCGTATTCAATTTATTTCTCTGTAAAATTAGTGATTAATCAGTTCGTCTCCAGTGTTACCCGTAGGGCAGTCGTTCTGTTCCCTATGAATATCAAATGAGCTTAAGAGTGAATGTTCCGAATAGAAACTGGTTGATGTTGATGCTCTGCTGCTAGATGGGGTGGCTGCAGGAACAGAATGTAGAGTATGGTAGTAGGGCTGCTGCTGATCAAGGCTGTGCTGCTGGTGGACAGGAGAACTAATGCCCAGTAACATGGCTTCCGCTTGTGACACTTCGTTGAACAAACGATTTTTAACCATGTGTTGATATGAGGGTGGCATTCGTTTGGTAGACTGGTACATTGCCATAAAAAAATTAAATAGGGGGTCATTTTGAGTTGGTTGTATTTGTTGTAGCAAAGTTCTTCTCTCTTCCATTCTTGCTTTAGCCCTCTCCTCACGTTTCTCAATGCTTTCTTTAAATAGTGTAGCAACGTTATCTTTCTTAAGTTTTTTAACTGCTTTGGGGGTTGCACTGGACGTACGCATTGTAGGAAGTTTTTCTGAAAGTGTTTGAGATTGGGATTCATCCTCCACATTTTCGCTTTGCTGCTCTATGTCCATTTGCTGCAAATTTTCATTGTCTACCTCTACAGCTTCTTCATTGACTTCAAAATCTTGTGATATATTTTCAGTTTCATTGTCTTGGAGGTTTCCTTCTCTAGATTTATTGGCCATATAAGGCTGCAGAAATCCCATCTGTTTTTGAAATTTCCATTCTTTCACAACTTCCGCGCCTGCTCCACTTTTGAAACATTTTTTTTGTCGTCTAATCGCATCTCTCAATGAATGTCGTAGTTTTTCCCATAGTGACTTTGCTTCGGATCCTACAACAATAAATTAACTTCACAGTTGTAATAACATAACCCTTTAAAAATTCTATACAAAAATCAAACATTTAAAAAAAATGGGAAAACTTGGGGGGAATGTGGGAAAAGTGTTAAACCTGTTTCATTTTTTTAACAGATTATTGTATTTCAGATACTTGGCCACAGGAAACAGCTATAAAAGTATGGCGTACAGCTATAGGATGGGTGATCGAACCGTCTCCAATATTGTGCGAGACGTTTCTGAAGCAATATGGAAGCTGATGCAACCAATATATTTGCCCGAACCAACAGAAGAACAGTGGAAATCAGTAGCAGATTCATTTCAGAGAAAATGGCAATTTCCACATTGCATTGGTGCCATTGATGGCAAACATGTGGTCATTAAAAAGCCTGGTAAAAGTGGATCCTCTTTTATTAATTATAAACATACTTTCTCGATTGTGCTAATGGCTGTCGTCGACTCGAATTATAAATTCATCACCATTGATGTGGGGTCCCAAGGAAGATTCAGTGATGGAAACGTTTTCAGCACAGGCGTTTTAGCAAAGAAAATGCTGAATCAAACTTTACATCTCCCAGCACCTAGTGAAATACCTCCACTTGTGGACCCAATCCCGTATGTGTTTGTAGGAGATGAGGCCTTCCCATTATCTGACAATTTGATGCGACCTTATTCTAAACGAGGTGTCATTGATAATTTTGAAAACAAGGTGTTTAATTACAGACTGTCACGTGCACGTCAAACGGTTGAATGCGCTTTCGGTATACTTGCCTCGCGTTTTCGAGTTTTCCGAACACCTTTCGAAATTAAAGTAGAAAGTGTGATTAATGTTGTCAAGGCCGCATGTGTATTGCACAATTATTTAAGGAACTCGTCAGTACCTCACAGTGAAGAGGAATATAATGAAGATATGCCGCAAGATCAGCTGCTCCCATTGCAATCGAGCAATGCTCGAAGTACACGAAAAGCTTTTAAGATTCGAGAAGACTTTACGCATTATTTTAACTCTGCAGGAGCGGTACCTTGGCAGAGGGAAAGTATTGCTAGAGGGAAATATTGACAATTTACAATAAATAAACCGTAAATAAAACTTACCACTCTTCATTCCGATTTCCTTAGCGATTTCCCCCCACTTTTCAGTTTTTAATTTCGTTCTCATGTAGTCTGCATGACTAATATCATACAGAATTTGGCGAATCCGCACGGCTTCGATTAATTTCTCTTCCATTACTTCCACTCACCGTGAATAACTACAAGAAACTGCGGGATCGGCACTGTGTTCCGCAGGATCACGTTAAGCTAAAACTGCGTCACGTCACACTGCTAATCACTATGCGCAAAGGTATTTATTTATTAGGTTCACAAAATCTCACCGTGACTCACGCTGCGTCACCTCACCAAGCTGCGCTTCATTTTGCGCCCGGCCTTAATGCTACTGTTGAAAAAAAGAAGGTAGTACTACTGAAACGAGCTCTAATTGCTGTTATACTGCTTCTTATGAACTCTTATTAATAGGCCTTGTACAAACTGTTGCGTCGAGAAGTCGACCCCAAGCGGTTTTTCGACATGCTTTTGCGGGGTACTTTCGTAAAAATCGACCATTTAATCGAAACGACTACGACAATTCCGCCAACAACCACCAAGTCGACGAAGCGAATCCGCAGCGTGGAGGAATTGTCCGAATTGTATCCGCAACGGGTAACGTACGAGAGGACGACGTTCAATCAGCAATTTTACGTTAACTCTCCGCTGTATCCTTACTATACTTTTTTGAGCGACAAAGCCAAAATATTTGCCATGCGGGTGTTGCAAATTTGGCAGTACGGCGGAGTGAGTTACGATTTGCAAGCGCCCGGAGATGTCCTGAAAGATATCGTTAGGAATAAGTTCGATAAAGTGAGGAATTTTGTTATAACCGAAAGGGAATCTGCAGGTAATTTAAATGAGATTATTTTGTACAAACTGATCGGATTATAATGCTTTCAAAGGACAATTTAGCTATCTATTTGATGGATTTATTTTAGAGAGCAATGAAAATTCGAACAAAATCGGCGAGATGATTGTCAGCGTGGACGAAAAGGGGCTGCATTTGGAGAGCAAAGTGGCGTGTCACGCGTTTTTCGGGCAACTTTTAATGACATTGAGAAGGACGGACAAATGGTCGACTGTGAAGCATTTAATGCAGTACAGCATTCGAAGGTATTGCAAACATTACGCGCACAATTCCGATTATTGCCACATGTACATGAATGTTTGATCGACTTTGTAATGTATATTATTTAATTATATTTATTATACGAAAACAATATAAATTTTCATTGTTTAAAATCCAACGATTCCAACTAAATTATTTTTTGAATCCTACAAGGAAAGTGGAATGTAAAAAATATTCGAAAATACCTAAGTTAATCTACGCGAGTTTTGATTCTTTCGAGGTAGGCGTTCCATAAGATTTTCTTATATTTCTCGGCAGCTACAGCGGGCTCTGGCGCCTGACTTATACCTCTACCTACTACAGCCACATCAGCACCCTTTTCCAGAACCACCGTCAACGGAGAATTATATTTCTGACCTAAATTATCTTGTTTGTTTTCTAGTTGAACTCCTGGACAAAGTTGAATGAATCCTGGATTGTTCGTAAACAGAGGACTCTGGCATACAATCCCTAAAAAATTAATTTCATTAAATCACGCTGTGTAAATCTACTGTGTTACATACCTGTTATTAATTCTGGATATTGTTCAGCCATTTTAATGGTGTCTTTCGTGTAATTTTCTGATATTAAATTACCCGCTGAACTAGCTTCGGCTAACAAAAACACCCCTCTTGCTTTCGCCCCATCGCTGCTTTTAATGGCATCCAGCACGCCTGGACCCATTAAGGAATGCACAGTAACCAAAGGGGCCCACGAAGATATGCTGTATAACCCTATAAATATTTAACATACAGTATATAATTCATAATCGGACAAATTTGTAATACCTTTACTGTACTGGTATTCGACCGTTTTACCAATATCCGCAAATTTTCTGTCTTCGAACAAAACAAAGTTGTGCCTGTCGGCGATTTGTTGCAGAGGTTGGATCAAATTGGGATTGAAATCTTCCACTATATCAATATGCGTTTTGAGAGCACATATGTGAGGCCCAACCGCTTCTGCGAAATTCAATAAGTCTGTAGCGGAAAGGATATCGGCTGCGACACATAGTGTAGTTTGTTTGTTCCGCATTATTTCAAACAATCGTTTGGCTACTGGATTTTTCGCTAACTTCTCTCGGTCCTCGAACGACATTTTCAATCTATCTATAATGTAAATAATGTAGGTGTAAAATGGCATTTATCAATTATGCTTACTTTGAGATACATTTTTGTTCAACAATGATTCATCCACTTTTGTTGTAGCTAAGTAGTCTCTAACTTTCTGTACCATTAGAGAATCTATGTAATTAGCTTCTTGTAAAATGTCCATCAGTTGCGTTAGATTGAATAATGCATGCATTTTGATGCCGTTGTTTTTGAGAAAAGCTTCCCCGCCTTGTTCCCTGTTCAATAATATGATGGCATCGGTGCATTTTAGCTCTGAATTAGTTAAATCTTTTACTGTTTCAAGTATGCTGCTGCCAGATGTAATTACATCTTCGATGATTAGGCAGTTATCACCAGGTTTAAAAACTCCTTCTATCAGTTTTTTTGTGCCGTAATCCTTGGCTTCCTTCCTGCGCATCACCATAGATACATTACTTTTGATGGAAACTACAGTGGCTATGGGCAAAGCAGTATAAGGCACACCACATATTATGTTGTAATTATTTATATTGCCAATTTTCCAAATCATTAGTTCAGCTAGGGTTTCCTTCAAGGACATAAATAATTAGATTACACGAGTTGTTTATCAATTTACGAACTTACCAGCAATTTAGGATAACTAACAATTACTCTTAAATCGCAATAAACAGGTGTCATCAGGCCGATTTTCGTTTTGTATTCGCCGAATTTTATGGCGTCAATTTTAAATAATTCTTTGGCAAATGCTTTCAGCTTGTCTTCCATTGTAAACAGATTAATTTAAAATATAAACTCTTTTAATTTAAAAACTGAAAACTAACCTAAAAAAGAAAAATGTGACGGCAAAGTATAATTTGACAGAATTTGACGTTTGAAATTGCCTACCATGATAAAAAACATTCTCTATTTCTATTGGTCTATCTACTGTCACATTTTATTTGGACTTGTAGAATAATGAAGAAAAGAAGCAGAAAATTGACATATGTGACGGCCAACTGTCATAATTTATGTCAATTCTGTCACTAAAACATTTAATTTACCGCCGGCGCCTACTGGAGAAACGAGTATTTCGAGTATTGGTTTAGTTGAAAGTATTGTTGTAATTTGTTGTATAATTTTCGTTGTTGTTACTTTCGTTTTCAACTTCCAGTTGCAGTAAGTACTCATTTCTTTTATCTACTTATGGTTGAAATATTGAAGCACTTAAGAAGGTTAACAAGTTAGTATATTTAGCGAAATTTATTACAGTGTTCAGGCAAGAGCGAGCACAAATAAGCTTATAAAAACAATTTATATTTTCTTATCACTATAAAAAAACAATCAGGCTTTATTGAAGGCAAGTTTTGCGCTTAAAAATACGTCGTTGCTCCCACACTTACTTCTTTCATAGGGAGACTTTGAGAAATTTTATTATTTTTTTTTTATTTTTAGAGGAATTTCATAGCAGCATTTCGACTAATATTAAATATATTTACACGACGAACAGCGGTGTATTTATGGTATACGCTAAAAGCTTTTATTTTCATTTTTAAATGCTAATATAAAATTCCCCTCAACGAAGTTAATAATTTTAATTCAGCAGTTGAGTAGTCGCACAAAAATATCTTATATATCATTATAAATTCACCAAATTCCGACAATTTGTCCTCTACAAGAAGTAAATTATCAACAGCCAACTTTTCACGTAGGTCAATTGAACACCCTGTAAAGTTTTTCCAAACAATCGAGCTCATACAAATTCGTAGAAAAATTAGTACCACGCATTGCTTAATTTATCATGCTCGAAATGGGGTTGAATCTCATTATTTTAGACAACAATATCCACAGTACCGAAGTCATTACGCACAGCATGACTCCCCCCCAGCCCAAATCCAACGACCAAGACGTGGTAAACATCCTGGCCGGTAATAAATGCTTGATCAACCGGCCCCCGGTGGGGCTCACGACGCCGTCCACGGTCCCCTCGGCCGTGGTCTCGGCCATGTCGGGAGGAGTGTGCATTCGCTTGAAATGTATAATCGTCAAGGTGAAGAGAGCGAAGGATGCTACAATGTATAATTCGATATACCATTCGAAGCGTTTGCGCTATTCCAATACTCACCCGCTAACAAATACATGACACCTGTTACTAGGACGGCACTAATTTGATGCTGGAAGACTCCGAAGGCGCCCACGAGGGCCGCACTTCCCAGGACTATCAGGCACACTAACGCGCAGGATATGGACAAATTTTGCATCCCTATAAACACACTCAATCATTTGTATATCAATGTAAAATGAGCCACGTACTGTGCTGCCAATCGGTTCTGGGTTCATATCCCTTTAAACCATCTATACCTCCTGCTAAGTAGTTTACGCATGATTGGACCGTTGGGAAGCCCACTCGGCCTAATAAACCGATTTCTTCATCTAAAACAAAATATTATAACTAACAAAATGAAGCCAGTTGTAAATAATGGTAGTAAGAATGAGTACCTACATCTGATAAATAATCAAACAACCAGAGTAATTAAACAAATGTATTTAAGAAGGAATGTTCATGATAATTTTACTACTAATTTGGATGATATTTTGCTGAATTGTGAAGTGAGAAAGTATCGCACAATTTTGGTAGTTAAAATTCAGTTATTGTTATCATTCTTGCTATTCAATTTACCTGTTAAACTGACGCAAAGCGTCCAAATGCCACCGTGCATGGGTACCAAGAAAGCTATGGTCCTGTCCTTATCGCTGGTAGCTACTCGAGCCACGGTGGTGTCCAGCAGCCACTCCAAACGTATCGTGCTATTGGCCAGCATCTCGAGGCTTTGCTTGTCCCACGTCACCTCCTCCCAGTGATCGGTCATGATGGCCGCGCACAGCATGCCGGTCGCGCAAGTCGTCAACACCAACGTACCTGAAGCCATTACGGAAGAGAATTTGGCGGTATTGTGAAGATGAGAACCGAGTTGAAAGCGGCATCAATTTTTGAGCGCTTGGCGAGGGATGATTACCTAGGAGAAAGAAGACGCTGGGATGGACGCTGCAATTCCAACCCGTTTCGTCGTCCGCTTCGGAGTTCTCCATCAGTGGCGGCTCGTAGTCGACAATGAGGAGGTCGTACTCTTGTCCGTGTTTCAGCTTCAGTTTGATGTTTTCGCCGCCGGAACGACTCGTATCTGTTAAACGAACAAACGCACCGGCTGCTGGTCCACGTTGGCGGTCACTGTGGGAGTTTTAATGACATGAAATAGTGTAGATTCGAGGTTCATAAAGTATAGAAAAGAAGGAAATTTGAATGAAAATGTTATCAAATATACTGGGTGTTTCTACAGATGTTCTGTGCTGTAAAATCGTCATTTATTATAGAGGATTTTCCTACTTTATTTGTGCATTATGTTGTATAAAAATGAATATTTTATTTTCTGGTTTGTGCCTTGTCACGGATTGTTACCGCTTTCGGTAAAGAAATTAATCTTGCCCTTAAATTCGACCTTTAAACGTAGGGCGAATTTTTGCGAATATTATTACGCCTGAAATCGATTTTTTGGTTATTTCTGACTGTCGCATGTTGTGCAATTATAATTAGCACACGCTCCTTTAATTTAAACGAATACGAATATAAAATTAATTTTAGAGAATAGTGAAAGTTTAGGTCATTGATGCCTCAGGGTTGTTGCGAGTGTTGATTTGAAAGAAAAGAATTTTCTTCTGAAAAAAGCTGTATAGCTAAATTGAGAAATTTATGTGTAATGTCTTGAGTTTTTGTGGTAAAAATCGAATGGGTTAATTTATTATTCAATACATCAACTTGGAAAATTTTGTATAATCTGTCTATTAGTGCTCACACAGTTTTCTACAAAGCATTACTTACTACAAAAAAGTATAGGTTGTAAATTGCGGTTTCCATTAAATTTTTCATTTATTGGGTCTTTATTATCGTAAACCTAAAAGAAAATTCCATTACATCTACCAATATATTCAAATTTATTTGCAATTCAAATTACTTTAGTATTACCTAAGTCATAAAAATTATGATTAGTAACCAATTAAACTAAAATAATATTTTGCCGCACTCTTTCCACTTACCTCAATCGTTCAACCTTCAAACCCGCTACTCCAAAAGACGCATTTTCCTACCGCTAACAGGCACTTAAGCATAAACAAACGTACGAAAAACACAAGCACTAGCAACTATATCTTGTAAAAAATAATTGACTTCAACTTCAGGCAACCATTCACCAAGCACCTTCGACCTTTTCCGCCCCGAAATATCACAAATTTTTATTGCGTTCGTCGCGTATTCATCGTTTTTCCCTATTTTCTCTGGAACGCGCTCCGACCCTCGTCCGCCTCCCTATCGCACTGGCGGAAAAACAAGAGGGAGAATACGGTGAATCGGAATAGCCGCGTTGCGTACTAGAAATAGCCAGTGCCACGTGTCGCCAGAAATTCTGGAAAACCGGAAAATTCCGTTTTTATGTTAAATACTCGCGTTACTGGAAAATTGTTTTTCAAGGAGTTTTAAGCTTGCCTTGATATAGAGTTTTGTTCGTTCTTGGTTAATACACGAGAGATCTTTTTGAGAAGAGTTTTGTTATGGTGTTCGCTTGGGAATCCTATGTAAATTAATTACAGAAACTTCTCTTATTATTTTATTGCGTTCTCCACTCAGGAAAGATCCCACATACTCTAGAACATCCCGTATAATATTCTATTCTCCGAAACGTGGCAATAGAGCGAAATATTAGTCGTCGATAAACAATAAACCAGCGTCGCCGCCGGGACGCCGCTCCCGCGCTAATTCAGTCGCGTTTCGCCCGTTAATCGTCATGCTTTGCGCGGCAATTAGCCGCCTACTTTTCGCCCGATTTTCCGGCTATTAATTCCCCATTTTTCCGTCGCTTTCCAGATGGCGGACGTAGTGGTGAATTCGGACAACAAGAACTGGGAGCAATTGTACGCGCAGGGCGTCAGGGCCTACGTGTTCCAGGATTATTCCGCCGCCGCTGCCGCTCTGAGTCAAGCCATCGAAATCGTGGTGAAGCAGGAGAACGACGATCTCTGCGACTCGCTGGGCGACGTTTACTTGCACTACGGCAAAGCCTTGCTCGAGTTGTCTAGAGAGGAAAGCGACGCGTTGGGTAAATGATTAATCTTCTAGCTGAAGCGCGTGAAAGGTAATGAAGGTTGTTTGGTGTTGTAGGCGATGCTGTTCCCAAAAACAACGAGGAATCTTCCGAAGAAAGCGAAGCCGAGGAAAGCGAAAACGCCGCTAACGAAGAAAAAGAAGCTGAAGTTAGCGAAGATAGTAAAAAGGTAGAAGAAGAAGAAGTAGTAGTTGAAGCGGAACCTGCTGCAACCACCGGAGGACCTTCTACTAGTAATGGTAAATAGCAAATGTAGTAATTGAACTATTCAAATTTCGTCACAACTCGATTTTCAGGCGAAGCCGAAGAGGAGGAAGAAGATCCATCAGATCTCCAAATAGCGTGGGAGGTGCTTGAATACGCCAGAAAAATCTACCTGAACCAAGGCGAAGCGGCGAAGAAAAACCTGGCGGAGACGTTGGTGGTTCTGGGCGAGGTGGCGTTAGAAAGCGAAAACTTCGAATCGGCCATCAGCGATATCACCGAAGGCTTGGGCATCCAGCGGGGCCTGTTCGGCGACGATTCGCGCGCCGTCGCCACCACGCTCTACAAGCTGGGCATCGCGTACGCGGCCGATTCGCAGACGGACAAGGCGGTGGGCAGCTTCGAGGAGTCGCTGGCGTGCCTGGCCAACAGGGTGGCGGCGCTGCGGCGGCGCGACGGCCAGCAGGACGCCGCGGAGGAGATCGAAGAGATCGAAGGGCTGATGCCGGATATTAGGGAAAAGATAACCGACATGAAGACCTACAAGGAGGAGGTATGTCAATGTGATATTAGAACTACGTTCGGCGGCGCCGATAAAAAGCCGAATTTCGAAAAGATTTTAAACAAGGAATTTATCAATAAGATCGAGGTGAAAAGAAAGAGTAAAGCCGTTGAGGAGTGTTTGAATAAGTTGAATTTGAAGTAGAATTTGTTGTTTGTTACTATTTTTGTACTTCGTTTTATCGACTTGAAACTAATACTTTTGTCTAATAGCGACGTTTTTTGTCGCTCGTATTTCCACAAGACTGTAATTTTCCTAATGATATTTTTCTAAATAAACATTTCGCTTTGTATCAAGTTTTTGACAACGAACCCTTTATTAGTTTCTTCCTCCAAACAAAATTGAAGGTAGGTTTAACGTTCGGCTCGTTCGCTACAAAGCTCAAAGCGCCTTCTGCGTAATTTAATCTATTAATTATTGCATTGCATTGTGTTTTAGAGACTGAAAAAAGTGATGAGCATCATTTCCGAAAGCTCCGACTCGCCCAGGCCGTCCACCAGCACCTCGAAACCCGCCTCGGATATATCGCACTTGGTCAAAAGGAAAAGGAAACTCGAGAATATCCCCGAAGAGAACGAAGCCGAACACCCCGCCAAAAAACCACCCAGTAATTAGCACATACTTTATTAGTATTTCCATCGGAAAGCGCAACATTTTTTCCTGTCGCGGAGGGAATTTTAATTCGGCGCGAGCGCGTTATTTTTAATTATTTATAAGTCAAATTAAAAACGTTTTTTGTGGATTACTTTTAATTGACGGGATTGTACAACTCTTTCTCCAATCTTTTCCTGTACCACAAATTCGCTGACAGCTGCAATATTCTCAACACCAAAACGACCCTTAACACTGAAAATTATAGTTTGATAACAAACAGTCGATTAGACTTGCAAATAACTCTACCTATTCCTACTGTTGTCGCAAACAGCGCTATCCAAGGCAGCGCCGTGGTGTTTTTAACGTGCTTCAAAATCCTCGTCATCTTCATAAGACTCTTGTAGTGATTGTAGTACAGGCTGTAAGCGGTGGCCGATACCCACGGGAATATCAAAGCGATGGTTCTCTGGAACGACGAAATGGGAGAAGATGCCGGGTAGATTAACCGATACTTACGGTCGTTACACCTTTATGCAGCATCCAAGCAGTGAGCGCCACCAAGATGACGTCCTGTAAATTGAATCCTATGGATATGCCCGTTATGTTCGCGTTGAAGTCTATCTTGGCCGATGAATACAACGACGAGAAAATCCAAAGCGTGGAAATGAGGAGTTTGGATTTCGTGCTATCCGTATTCGGCGACTTCATCGTACGATCTACGCCGTGTTTTTTAATGACGATCGTTTCGGAACTCATCGCGAATAATTTGGGATTCTTCGAAACTGTTTGTGATATTGTCTTGTTGAGGACGGTAATTTAGAAAATTAGGACGTACATAAATTGTCAATGTCAGTTCTTTGAAACTCGTTTACTGTATTATTCACAGGGTGTGAGGAGTCTTGTAACTTCCTTGAATCCTTAATTTCATTTACCTTACTCCTAAAGTTTCAGGTTTAAGAACACTCTACTGCACACAGTGTAATGAATATGTTACGGGTAATGTTAGATAAACGACTAAATTAGGTTTGCCCAGGTTTACCGGGTAGGGTAGGTTTCTCGTAACATAACGGGAACCTAAGAAACCTACCCTATGCTATTCTACCCATGTTTCTTGGGTATTTCAGTTTATCCAGGCAAACCTAAGTTTAGTCGTTTATCTACCTTTTGTGTTTGCAATATTGTTAATTCTATGAGGTGAACAATGAAAGATTATTAAAGTAACAGTGTCTAGAGTGATGCAATACCACAATATCGCTCATTCTTTTATTTATATGTTTTTTGCATTTATATGTATAAACTAACTCCTATGACTCTTGTATGTGTAAAGACCCATAGAAGTTTCAATAGGCATCTATCGACATCCAACTTCAACTCACCATTTCTCCACTTATCCATTCAACGAACATCCATAATATTTACCAACAACCATTTAAGAACAACCATAATATTTAATAAAACATATTTACATTAACCCTCTAACAATTTAACCGCTATTTTTTAAATTCCCACAGTTTAATTTCACCATCGTCGCTGCACGACGCCAACAGTCCAGGCACCTCTGGGCTCCAAGCCACGCAATTCACGTCTTGACTATGCGCCTTTTCCGTAGCCACTAAACTGAAAGTGGGTTGATCGGGATCCGAATTCGCGTCTTCCTTGAACACCCGAACGCAATCGTCCCCGCTGGCAGTGGCTATGAGACCGGTCAAACGGCACCAGCTGATATCGTAGATCGTCCGTTCGTGGTAACCGTCTAACGTACAAACGCACTTCCACGTGGGAGCCCCGTTTCCTGGTGGAAATCCGCTGGGGTATTCCTTCCATATTTTAACCGTGCCGTCGTCGCTGCAAGAAGCTAAACGAGAGCCAGTGGAATCGAAGGCGATACTCCACACTGTTGATGAATGGCCGGTTAGTGTTTCGTAGCAAATCCATTCGAATTCGCTCGGTTCATCTTTGTACAGTTTAATAGTGTCATCGTACGAACAAGATGCTAGGATGTTTTCGGTGGGATGGAAAGTAACCTACGAAAAATTCCGATGTAATCGAAGGTGAGTAGAAGCGTGTGTGTACTTACTTTTTTAACATCTTGCGTGTGCGAATTGATAACGGAAGTGCAATCGTACTCATCCTCGTCGTTCACCTCCCAAATCCACACCGACTTGTCCCTGCTGCAAGTGGCCAGGAACAGCCCGTTGCTGGACCAAGCGACGCTCTTCACCTCGTTGTCGTGGCCCTCCAGCGTGGCGTTGCACTCGAACTCGCCCGATTTCCTGTCCCAGATGCACGTTGTGGCGTCGAAGCTGGCCGAGGCCAGGTAGTTGCCCGACGGCGACCACGATACCTGCCTGATGGTGCGCTTGTGCCCGTCGGTCAGGACTATTTTGTTCGTCCATTTGCCTCGCAGGTCCTTCGTCCATATCCTGATGGACTTGTCCTCGCCGCAGGAAGCGAGCGCGGCGCCTTTGGGGTGCCAGCCCACGTTCCATACTCTACCCGTGTCGCTGTTGAGGGCTTGGATTAGTTCTAGTTTGCCCATTTTTGATGATATTCAGAAGCGAACGTTAATTTACATTCATTTGGGTTTGTGTTTTTGACAGTTAAATTAAATTGTAGGTTATGTTGTTGAAGTTTGAGCTCGTCCTCGTACTTACAGGTTTAACAGCTAATACTTATTTTCTAATACTTTTTTTATCCAATACAAAATTTATTGATTGAAAGTAGCTATTTTACAAATATATAAGTAACAAAAAAATTTATTAGCGCCTTCCTTTGCCTTTTCCCTTTCCTTTCGAGCTGGTGGTCTGCGGTTGAGGGTCTCCGCTGCCCTTATTTTGCCTGCTCTTCAATTTAGGAATCATGTCTCCCAGATGGAGCATTAAGCTGTCTCTAGTGGGAAAACTTGGATTGCACAGCGTACCGTCGTCGTTTTTCAATTGAACTCTAATTCGTCCTCGATACAACAATTCTTTGCTTCGTTCCCTGCTGTATAATTTGTTTTCCACGCCGACCTTAAAATGTAATAGGCATTATTAGGTTAGTAACTCGCAGTTGTGGAGAATGCGAACCTTCAAACCTGCTGCGACTAATACGTCTCTGATCTCTTGATGAGTGGGATTCTCCACGCATTTTTCCTTGTTTAATTTCCTGCCTTGGGCTATGGTTTTTTTGCAGTTAATGTACGCTGGGTAAACGCAAATCCACCTGCAACATATGCATGTTACTTGATGTAGGTTAATTTAATTTGTTTTTATATACCTCTCTCTATCGCTGTATTTTTTATCAGGGCTCCATTGTAGGATTGAGGCGCCAGGATAACCGTGCGCCATTCCACTGGGAGACTGCATGGTTATTTATTTATTTGTAGTTTTTGTTATTTTATACAATATTTTACTACCAGTGTTGTTGCTGTCATATGTTTTATGTGTCAGTCAATGTCTGAAATGTCGTGTCATTACTGTCAAAAATAAAAGCGGTGTTGCCAAGATTCGGTTATAAATTTGGTGGCTGTTTGCCATAATATTAATGGTCTACCATAATATTTGCGGTCTACCAAGGTCTACAAGCATACTTCGTCGCCCAAGGATATTTAAATACTTTCACTGTTATCACATTTTGCAAAACTGAAACTGGTTGTGAACATGTCTTACAAAACTGCTAATGTTTATCCACTTTTTTTCTATCTCCTACAGTTTCCGAGATCCCTTTTCTAAACATTGGAAAAAACTCACTCTGTATAATTCTAATACTTTCGTAATTATTGATAATTTGAAGAATTACTTACCAGCTATTCCATACATAATATAATACTATAAAATACTTGCTTAATGAAGATATAGGATATTTACGTTTAAATAAATACTGGTACTTTCCCAATTCTCGGTAAATTGAATCATTTATAATAAATACTTTAAAATAAATTTGGGTAGACCGCTTGCTACAAAAAACTCGATGCGATACCATAAATTTTTATGTAAATTTTCAAATTTCAATACATATATTTTTTTCAAACTTAATCACTTTATTATTTCATATTATATTTAACGGTTAAACAGGATAATTTTCATGATTTTGGGTGATTTTTTGAATAATTTTTATTATTACTTTCAGAGTTAATATTTCTGAATTTTTTAATCTTGCTTTTTGTCAATTTTACATACAGGTTTGTAATTGCTAGTTAAATTAATTGGAATATTTTTTGCTCTTAACACCGCCTTGGATTACTTGTGAATTACTCTGTAATTTTCCTATAAAATAAATCGATAAAAAATAATAAACTTTTTAAACTCATCCAAAGTATGTAGTGCACTGTTATATGGTTTCCAAGCAACCTAATTTGCCTATTTTCACACCTATTTACAGGCTCTAAATCGAAGGAATTTTAATATATTGATGATCAGTGTTTGATTTGCTACATTACCTACATAACTAATTTCTATAACCACACAACATTGTAGAATCATATTTGTGTTAAATCTTAAGAAGAATAACTCATGATTATTATAATGTATTATCCTTAAATTTTAATATTTGTTGAAGTTGCTGATATTACAAGTAATGAAAAATGTCCATTGAAAGAATAGAATATCAGGGCGCTTTCAGAGAATTCGCATCGAATTCCAGTTTGACTGGATTTTCTCACCTGAAATCCAACCATTGGGCCGAAAGGTTAGATTCATTTCTATCTATTATACCTTCCATTTATTACCACTTGCATTTTCATCCAGGTATATTTGGTACTTTATTCACCTATTAAGTTTGAGCATCACAATCTACCTGATCATATTCGGCTGGAACAATTTCATGACCAATCCCACGGTGATCACCGTTGAATCGATCGGCAGCCGCCACGTGGATATAAAACTGCCCAGCATATCGATATGCAACATCCATAAAATTAGCAAAAAAAAGGCTGAACGTTACGCGCAATACTTGTAAGTAATTTGAACAGAAACCTTTGATATCAAATTTATTTGGAGCCGTTTTTGAGGTCTTCGAAATCGGGGGTTCCCATAGATGAGGTGCTAAAGAACATATCGCTTCTGGGTTACCTTTACGAATACAATTTACCATCAAAGTTAGATGGAATCGTGGAATTTCAGACGTTCTTGGAGAAATACGATTCGTCAAAATCAGGATATTTTAACACTTCAGAGAGACTGTACCAAGTAAATTATACTATAAATTTCTTCTTTACTAGATTGTTAGCGTATAATTCTTATAGTTGCAGCCTGCTTGTGAGGAAGTAGTGAAAGATTGCGAATGGCAGGGTTTAAATAGATCTTGTAGCGACATATTCATCACAGATTTTACTACAGAAGGCTTGTGTTGCGTGTTCAATTACGTCTCTTCAAAGAACAACGAGAGATTATCACCAATCGTGTAAGCTAGATTAAATTATTAGACTCGCAAAATCCTGGTAATCGCTAATTTTAGAGTGCAAAACAATTACAAACCGATACCGTTTCGAGCGAACGATGTGATGAAATTTACAATTATGTCCAACGAATCGGATATTTTCTTCACCTCCTTAAGCACCGCGGCGCCTGTGAAAGTAACAAGTTATCTACCACCATTAAACACTCTAATATAATTCATTTTATTCCAGATTTTAGTATCGCACCCAAAAAATTTTCCCGACGTACCCTCGGGTGAAACGAGCGAGAGGATCATCGACAAAAGCAAAGAAATTTCGCTGAGAATATCACCGATTGTCACCAAGACGACTCCCGAAGTCAGAAAATATTCCATAGATAAGGTATGATAATTTCTATTTAAACGAACCTCTTTTCCTCAATCCCCAACCAGCTAGTCCAATAGACTCCTACAATCCTTGAGGGCTCCTACTAACCATGAGGACATCTACAATCCATGAGGACTCCTTCAACCCTTGAGGACTCCTTCAACCCTTGAGGACTCCTTCAATCCTTGAGGACTCTTACAATCCTCGAAGATTCCTACAAACCATGAGGACTCCTACAATCTATGAGAGCTCCTACAATCATTTGATGCTTCCTTTACGTCCTCAAATTGGACTTTAAATTCCTTGTTACCGATCAATCTGTAAATTTTTAGAGAAATTGCTGGTTCAGCGACGAAGTGGAAACGATGCTGGGCAGCTATAGTTTCAGCAACTGCATAATGGAATGCAAAATCAGGAGCATCGTGGCGTTGTGTCAATGCATACCGTACAATTACGTTAACGTATTCGAGGGCGGTAGAAGTCGTTACTTCCAATGTACGCTGGCTGATTTGACGTGCCTCAATTCCTTTTCAAGTAAGTCATGATTTGCCTACAGTGTAGCTGCAGACATGAGTATACAAGGCCAGAAGTTTATTAGTATTCCTGCTGCGTTACACCTACTTACATTTTTTAATGAAATTGTGTTAGATAAGTGGAGGACGATATATCCGGTGAATTACCAAGGATTTGGATTGGAAAGGGAGAAGCAGGATTCCATACGGTGCGTGGAATGTATTCCATCGTGTTCCGATACTCAGTATCATGTAATGTACGAGGGTGCTGATATAATCATTAACGGGTAGGCTTTCTAAATATACTTCTCCACAAAATTTAAGGAAATTCACAGATATTGAGATTAATTTAAAAGTTGCAGGTTTTTTGATCGCCAAATTTAGTATAAGATGTAGAGGGAGGGGCAAAAAATCCCTTTTGTGGAGCAGTTTATTTAAGATATTTATTCTAAAAATTTTCATTTCAGCACTAAAACAAATTTTAGTATAGTTCGTATACTGCAAGAAAAATCGATAGGAGTTTACAACAAGCAGGACGCGTTTTATTACTGGTACGATATGTTAAGTAAGTGTTTGTTTTTTAATTATTTCGCGAATAATCTATTTTTCGTAACTTATTTTTGAAGGTATGTTTGGCGGTTTGTGTAGCATAACTATGGGCATCAGTTTCATATCGATATTCGAAATTATCTATTACTTCATTTGGGTCGCGATAAAAAAGAAAATCGAGAATACAAAAAATCAATAAACCAGCATAAAATGCGCTACTAGTAGTCCACTTGGAAGAAGAATAAACTTTATTTTTAAAGACAACAATTTTTATTACATTCTTTCAAAATATAATTTCCTTAAAATTACTCAAATCACAACAATTGGTAAACGATAGGTTCTGCTTAATCTAAAAAATACTGCAATTTCACTTTAGCCCAGTAGAATTAGATGAATAGGTACCCGCATTAAAAACCGTTACCCAAACCCAAAACTACCCTCTCGCGTCATCTCATGACGATCATTCGGCACTAATTTTACCGCGCTAATAATGGCTAAGTACATAAAAATTCAATCGTTCTTACTACCGGGATGACAATAAATATCCGTCAGGTTCTCCTCGGAATCCAAGGCGTTCTGTCGCGACAAATGCCCCGAACTGTGCAGGCTGTAATTGCTCGTACTCCGGTCCAAACAGTCCAAATGTAAGGAAGCCGACGTGCTGAAATCGTCCGACAACGTCCTGCGCCTCTCCCCGCATTTGCTCGCCCCTTGACCGTTGTTGATGGGGCTAGCCCCCGCGGGATCGGTGACATTCTGCTCGCTCCTCGTGAACTTAAAGGGCTTCTCGGGCGTCAGCGGGCTGGGGCTCTTGATCTCCGAGCTCTGGCCCGATTTCGACGGCGTGGACAGCTCCGAAACCAAAGGGGTGCTCTCGTTGTCGCTGGTCTCGTTCAAATCGGGGCTGGAGTGCAGCAGCTTCTCTTTGAGCTTGAGTATCGCGTCGCTGTTTCGCCTCTCCGCGGTTTTCTCCTCTCTCTGATTGCTCTCGATGGACTTCGACCTGGCTCGCAGCTTCGCGTGCCTGCTTTCGGACCGGTTGAAGTTCAAGGAACTGGGTCGTTTCGTTTGAGAGGCGGTGGTTTTGTACTCCTGTAGAAGAGGGGTTTTGGTTGTGGCGGGGGTTTCGTACAAAACCGACGTCCCCGATGGGTTTATGCATATGCGGGGAGTCGGGATGGCTTCGGGATAAGCCGGTTTAATCACGACGTGTCGACTCTTGTTCAAACTATCGTTGGATTTCAAGTTCGAGTATTTACCGATGCTGCCTGCCGACGCTTTTCTCTCTGGAACTGCAAAATTAGTTATAGTTACCAAATCATTTACCACCAACTAACGAATGATATGAATGATGATAACTACCTGTAAATAGTAGTGGTAGGCTCGGTATCTACAAGTGCCCAAGTAAGAAAAAAGAAAGTCGGTACTTACCGGGCGAGGGCGGTTGCGAGCTGCATCTAGAACTCTGATCGCTCAAGCTGAGGCTTTCGGAATTACCGGCGATGCTAATACTGACAGGCTGCCAGTGCATGTGACCTACAGGAGAGGATTGCAACAAAACAAAATCTGTCTCGCCAATGCCGCTCGAGCTGTTCGTGCGAGATCGATAACCTCTAGGTAGGAGATCTAAACAAAACAAGCCTCTAAGCAGTGATTAGAAAAGCGAGTGTTAGGTGAATAAACTCGATTCCAATCTCCTACGTTTGTAAACGACATTCGATTCAATAGCAGCACATACCGATAGCTCGTTAAAATTATTAACCAACTACGTGATTGTTAGCTACGACTAAGAAGATGCGACAAGCAAGAAGGAATAAGTGCATTAAGAAGAAGTAATAATGAAATAGTAATTCCACGTGATAATGATAGATAGTGGAACTGTTCTACTTCACGTATAACTATTACAACTTAAAATATTGTTTAATAAATTAACAAAAAACATGCTTCTACGATACTTGAAGTAGACGACAACACAGCTATTGAATTCTAAGAAAAAGTTTGAACAATGCACAAAAAAACAACGGCGTAACATCAATAAGCGTGTTGTGGATCGTTATAAATAAAAATTAAAGTGCATGCAATAAAATTTATTTACTTACAGTATATATACATAATAAAATTATTCTTATTTACAATAAATATCGCTAAATGTATGGTCTCGAGCATGACGGGATCATGCAAAAGAAATAAATAAGTAGCGGGAAAAATCGGGTAGGTTAGTTGCCAAATTCTAAACTAAAGTTTTCAGCTATAAATTAATAAAAAGGATAAGTATTTTTTATAAATTAATACTACTGAAACATAATATGTACAACTAAAATAGTAAAATAATAGTTTTGATACTTGAAATAAAAACGCTAATTACATCATATTTCTTCAATTACAAACTTTTAGAATTTGGAAACTAACCCGCAAGAAATTAAACCGTATATTTAATGCTACATATCAACTTTAAAAGAACACATAATATGGCACTGGCATTCGACTTTATGGCACAGGTAGTAATAATATTAAAAATAGATATGTATGAATTATAAGGGTTCTTTTAAAATTTTAGCATCGAAATAAAGAGTGCGAATTCAATAACTGTTTTCGATCAAAATGAAGTGAATGAAATGAGATTGTCTTGTTAATAGTAAGAGAGCAACGATGAAGAATTGATAAGTATTAAGGTTGATAATTTTTGTAGTCATGAAAAGTAAGAAATACTGGAATGATAGAAATAGACACGTTAATGTTTGTTCTTGTGAGCTTCCACCGTACAAATTAGTTTTTGAAAGTTCGTTTTTCTAAAATATTTTGTAAGTTCATTCACTTCCGTACCCTCAACCGCGCTATTTATAAGGCATTTGCAAATGCAAGCTATTAATTTCGGCGTTACTCGAATTCGTCGGGTCAACATTCGAATCGTTCGCTAAACTTATAACATTCTTACTGATTTCCAATTCGTTATTGGGATTGCTCAAAATATCGCTAGTATTATATATGACGACGGGAGGAGCATTGTACAATGGTGCATTATGAGATTCACCTTGATTTGAGTCGGGACTGGGCGGTATTACTGAAGTTTGCGGTACATCGGGCTCGATCGTTATCTTCGTTTCTTCCGTTTCCTCTAATACATCTTCGCAGGCTTCCTCGTTCAACGTTTGCAACGCGCCGCATATCATTTGATCTTCTAAAGTTACCTACAGTTGAGAAAATAAACTATACAGGGTGCGTCACGCTGATGGATCAATGCAATTGATCACATTTAGTTCTCTAACGCCCAATATTCACCAATTTTGATTTATCAACCTGATAACTGTAACCCCGTATTTAGATGTGTTTTATAACCAAATGGTTTTGTAACCAACGATTAAATAGTTTCGAATGATTCTAAAGCGTTCCAAATGAGTCTGGAGAGTTCTAAAAGAATCTGGAGTGTTCTAAATTGTTCTAGACAGTTCTAAATGGTTCCGGAGCGTTCTTAATTGTTCTAGACAGTTCTAGATGATTCTGGAGCGTTCTAAATGGCAGAGGAATGACAATAAACTAACCTCACTTTCAGCTTGTTTAACATTCAAATAAACAACTCTATTCCATTTAACTACTCCATTATATTAGGTATTCAATTAAAAATGTTATTATGTTACTTTTATCTGACTGTTAAGTATTAACTGACATCGGTGAATGCCAAAATATGACGTTAACAGATTGATATAAATTTATCTCTCTATTAGCAATTTGACAGACATTGGTGAATATGGCTGTATATATCTCGGGCTCTACTAAAATACTAGGTTAATGGGAATACCTGTTGACATACCTGATACTACAGAGAGACATAATAAAAAAAGTATGGTATTAACTTCTAAAAAACCTAGTGTAGTGTATTAAATTACCTGTTTTTCAATAATACTCTGTTTCCTTTGCCTTCCATCATCTTGTAGTTTTTCTTTCTCGCTACTACAACTAGGTCCTTTACCTACAGAATCTAAAATAGCAATTATTTAGCAACACATTCGTCATTCGATATAAAACATACTTTTTCTTTCGACCGGTTTTAGCAATCTAATGGGCTTGATCTCGTCCTGTCGCAGCACGCTGGAAATTTCCTGCTCTCTCAGTATGACCAACATAACTTTGAACATCTCCCAATCGCCGAACGACATTTTCAACAACTAAAATTCGACAAATTAGCGGAAATACACGAATTTAAGTACGCTCACCTTTTTCAGCTCGTCCAAATCGCAATGCAACAAAACTCTACCGTTGATGTTATGTTCCCTTATCGTTTTAACGTAATCGCCCACCGAATGGGGATTAATATCGATCATGCCTGTTAACAATTTAACGACCCCGTCCACGGATAATGTCGATAGTTTAGTTTCTAAAATCTCCGGCTGAAATCGACCACAAATGAGACGTGAAAGGGCAAAAAAAACAGTTAAATACCTCGGCTACTGTGACAGGCGCTAGAGGCATTTGAGATCTGTACACTATCGAATCCTGCCAAGCTTGCCAACCCGGCGGGACTTGGCCCATCATAGCTGGATGGGCGTTTTGCTGGTGTAAATTCACAGTTTTCGCTGAATGACGGACTCTTTTCGACAATATCGATCGAGGAGTGGACGAATCGCTCATGTTCATGCCAGATTGCATAGTCGTATTTTTACCTATCATCAATCCGTCATCTTCCAAACATTGCATCTCTTCTAAAGTGGAATAATAGACGTAGAATTATTCGGATTGTTCCAATTTGAATGATGAGAATATCTCTTTAAAAAGGGTGTTAATTGAGTGCTTCAGGATCTGAATATTTGGATGATTTTAAGAAGAAAAGTTTATATCAATATATGTCCTAAACCTTTGTTTTCAAGCTACAGGGTGTAACAGTTTTAGAAAAAAACATTTTTTTTTCTCTCGAAATTTTCTTATTACTCCAGATATTTTTATGATAAATAGTTGAAAATTAATTTTTGTCCCAAATAAAACGCGTTTCCATGCATGGTGGGAGAACCAAATTTCAACAAAATTTTAAAAGCAGTTTTGAATGAACTTGGGAAAAAATTGTTTTGGTTTTTATTTTCCTTTGCCTCAAAAATGCTCCTTAATAATTACACCCTGTAAGTCGAAAACTAAGAGGTTTAGGACATTTCTTCTCTAAATCATCTAAATATTCACATCCTGAAGTATCGGTACTCAATTAATTAACAACCTGTATGAGGGACTTGGAAGTAATTGTACCTTTGATGATTTTTTTTAAGTACGGATCCAAATTAATCGTAAACGGAAGGAATATTTTCAGATCGCTAACCAGCAAACTGGATCGATGGAAACCCAAAAATATATCGAATTTTTTCTCGTCTCTATCCAGCTCTAATAAAGGTTCGGCGTCTTTCATAACAGGAATATGCGGGCGAATTCTACAAAAAATAACAATTTTATTAACGAAATGGACTGCTTTTCTATTAAACACAAAGCTTACTTATCGTATATAGATTTCAAGGAAGTGTTATCGTCGAGATTCTCCTCGTACATATCGAAATGGTGGATTATCCAGGAGGTTCTAAACGGCCATTGTTCAGTGATATTTATCCACGATGCTAGCCTGTACCAATTAAAATCGATTTGGAATGCCTTAAGTAACCGACCTAACAACAGCATACCGGTTTTAGAATGGGAAAATCCCTCGAACTATTACTTACCAGCAACGTAAACGACGTTCATCAGTCTTCTCATCGAACGCGGATTAACGTCGCTGAAATAATCGTCGGTGAGCAGCATTTTAGTCAGATCCTGAGCGCCGCCGATGCGATTCAAATTCGAACCGATCGAGCTGGCTATCGATTCGGACATTTTCAATTTCCTCGAACCCTTCCTGCCGGGAAATTTGCCCAAATTTTCGGTGCTCGACATCAGCCCTTTGTCCGTGGACAGCCTTCTGCTCGACGACTGAAAATAACGGCGATTTACCAATGGATAATCGAGTGATATTCGCTCAGATTTGCTCACCGATCGAGCTAAAAAGCTGTTGAGATTCTCTTCGTTTTCAGTCCAACCCACCGCCTGTTTTCGGTGAGCCAAGGCCGTCGCTTGGGCCACTTTGACCTTCCTTAATCCGGAATTTTGCAAATAAAACGGCAGATGGACCATATTGCTTAAATAATTGTGCCCTCCGATATTGTTTTCACTAAATAGTCTTCTAGTATTAATTTCTACAGCCTGGTAAACATTAACTCGTTAGATTTTTTTACAGAATTTTTAATCAAGAATGTGTCAAATTAAACTCATGTATTGCTCATTCGGCAATATAAGTATATTATCAAAGAAATATAGATATTTACAAACCACTTTGAGCCAATGAAAACGATACGATTTAATCATCTGACTAAAACTGAGTGTTTTTATTGGCTATTAAAACTAATGAATGATCGAAGAAGGTGACAAAAGAATAAAAATCGTGAAAGTGGGAGCAATAACGGACTAGAATAAATATTACAGATGGATACATAGATGTGTACATAAACTATTAGAATTTTAAGAATTACTAAAAAACAAGAAAACGTTACTAAAGGCGCGGACAACTTAATTTATTAGTTTACTAAATAAGATACTTGCACTAGTTATTAAATCAAGTTGTTCATATCATACAAGTATCTAAAATTTAGTTGCTTGATTTAGTTACTTGATACGTGTCCCCGCGCCTTAACGGCCATATTCACCAATGTCTGTTAAATCGCTAACAGAGAGATAAGTTCTTATCAATCTGTTAACGTCATATTTTGACATTCACCAATGTCAGTTAATACTAACAGTTGAATAAAAGTAACAGAGCAAAATCGATAAAAAAGTAACAGACTGATAACTTCAATTCAAATGTCGAAATTTTCAAAGTTTTTACGACTTTTTAACAAGGACATTTTAATTGTATACCTAATATAATGGAGCAGTTAAATATAACAGAGTTTCACGAATTGTTCAATTCATCTTCCGAAGATAGCGATAGAAATAGATATTAAATAGATAGAAATATTTCGAAATAGAATTTAAAAATAGGCTCAGATTGAATAAAGATTCGGTTAGATGGAATAACCGCTGGAAGTTAAGAACTATATCGTAATACCAACTTAATCTTGGTTATTTTTAAGAAAACTGTCTGTTTACTATCAGTTACTTCAAATATCGTGGCGAATAGCAAATTTAATATCGTTAACAGACTGTTAAATTTTATCAGACTGATGAGCCGAAATTGGTGAATATTGGACGTAAGAAACTGAATTAGCACGATAATTTATCTGTTGGTCAATTTATATCATACTACCACACCCGACAGTAAAATTAACAAACAATACGAATAACATCCAACGGACACAACATGAAAAATAACAGCAACGACAAACATAAAACTAACCTTCTCCCAAGCAACCTGTGAGATAAATAAAAAATGCGTTATATCTAATTAGGCGTAGGCTGAAACGTTGTGGTGAACGCTTACCTTGGCAATAACGTGAGGATCTATCGCTAATATCACAATAAAAGGGGTATTTGCATCTGAAAATAACATGTGTACGGTATCCAAAACGAGCAGTACTTTATCCTGTTCGCAACTATCCAATCCGTCTACCACGATAACGAGCCTGGTTTGTTGGCAATTTAGGCTATCCAAACATTTCACCATGTCTTTCATTAGATTTACCTGCAAACGTTATTCGTAATACCGCTAATTGTACGAAACGTTCGATTGCAACAACTCACTTCTTGTCTAAGCGTTTGAAGGAACCCTTCGGATTTAAGCGTCTCCAATTTAGCGATGGATCTTTGCAGGTGTCTCCTTTGCGAGAAAAATAGAGCCTTCAACAATCTCGTCCACGTGTACATATTCGCTAAACAAGCGACGCCTAATAACAGCGCCGCGACGATTAGTACCATCTTGAGAGAGAAATCTGATACTTCCAATCTACAATGTAACATTAGTAAATTTCTACTTTATCGGTTAAACAAATATTGCACTTACATTTGCGAAGACGAACTAACATGAATGATATAAATAATCAAGGCACACGAACCGCTTAATATCATCAAAAAAGATACTTCGAAAAATACTACGTACGGTACACAGCATACTTTTCTCCACGTCCAACTAGAGGAACTTCTTACTGCAAATTATAAGATTGTATTATACTAGATTAGAGAGTAGCTCAATTTGATGTATTTACTTGGTTTGGGCCTAAAAGCGCGATACAATCTAGTAGAAAACGAACCGAATTGAGCCTCTATAGCATCGTACAACGAACCAACCATCTGTACAACGGAATTTTCACCGCCCGCTGTACTACTCACCCTCGTTTGATCGGTAAAGAAAAACCTAAACAAACAAATCACTCAAAACGCTAATTACGAAATAAAAATTAACGAAGCGCCTTTACCGTATCGGCTGCGCGGCCATCCCGTCGTTCGACGCCCCCGGCGGATGGCAGAACAATATCTGCAACACCAGCCGCAGATTGTTCATTTTCCTCGTCAATCTCACATTGAAATTGTACGCCCAGTCCCAATCGTACTTCTTGCTGGCGAACCAGATCATCGCCAGCACGACGTAGCTGAGGAAGAGAAAGGCCACGCTGAAGGAGACGCCGCCCACCCAGGAGCGCGACGACAGACCGACGACGGTGGCCGTCACGACGGCGACGTGCAACAGGATGACGAACAGCAACATGGAGAACTGGAAGACGGGATCGACCCATTCGCGGGCGAAGTTCTTCATCTCGTCGCGGAGTTTGTTCAGCAGGAAGGACTTGCCGCTGCCCCATTTGGCGTAGAGGCCGACCGTGATCGGCATCGAGAGCGACGGTTCGCTGAGAATGTCCGCCAGGGCGCTGCTGTACAAATCGTAGCCGAGCATGTTTTCATTGTCTTCGTTCGTGTTCAGCCTTCCTGAAAATCAAGGCGATTGTAATGAGTATTTTTAGGGCGAGTACTAGTAGGTGCGGGAACTTACTAGCGCCGAATATTTGCCCCAAAATAGTCTTCTGGTGATTAATATCGATGTTGTAAGGCGTTTCCCCGGCTCTGTTCGGCCTGTAGAGTAATTGACTGTTCTTCGGATTCCTCAGCAGCACCTCGACAATACCTTTCGATCTGGCCCTCATGGCAATGTGCAGGGCGGTGTCGCCTTTCTTATCGGCCGCCGACACTTTCGCCTTTTTATCGATGAGCAATTGCACGATTTCCGTGTTCCTCGATCGCACGGCCTTCAGCAAAGGCGTGTCGCCATCTTTGGTCGCCAGTTCCAGGTCCGGATTGCAGGTGAGCAGCAGCTTCAGCACGTTCACGTTGCCCTTTTCCACGGCCACGTAGACGGCCGTCTTGCGATCTTTGCCCAGTATATCGACGTCGGCGAATTTCTTCAACAGCACTTCCACCACCCCCCTGTGGCCGCCTTTCACCGCGTGGATGAGGTTCGTGTCGCCGGATCGATCCTAAAACGAATCGTAATTGCTCAAGAGCTGATGTCGAGGCCTCTTAATGGCAAGCGAGTCGGCAACCAAAAAGGAGGCTTAGGGAGCTTTTAAGGAGTTGAGTTAAGTTCTAGCTTACCTGAATGTTAATGTAAGCACCGGCAGCCATCAGAGACGTAGTGATTTCGTAATAGCCTTCTTTACAAGCTATCGTTAAAGGGCTGCAACCGTCTTTGTCCAAAGCGTTGACGTTGGGTTTGTGTTCTAGTAGTAAATTAACAACGTCCGCGTGGTTGCCGTAAGTCGCTACCAATAAAGCCGTCCAGGAATACATGCCTGCTGTGTCTACGTTCGCACCTGAAAATCGAACGTGTTTATACAATAGACCTACAAACATCTCCCATAACATCTACTCGATGTACCACCCATTTTCATTCATTACAAGAGGGCATCTAGTTTTAAATTCCGGTAGAATTTAGGCAAAAACTAACCTGCTTTTAACAGCAAATCGACGATATCCGTATAACCCTTACGGCTGGCCCACACTAGAGCCGTAGTACCGTATTTGTCTCCGACGTTGACTTTGGCATTGTGATTGAGAAGGCATTCGACGATTTGCGCGTATCCCCTGCCGGAGGCCCACAGAAGCGAGGAAATGTGGAAATTCCCGTGGGCGTTGACGTCGGCGCCCTTTTCTACCAGCATCAGGGCGGTTTCCACTCGACCTTTGTACGTCGACCACATCAGAGCCGACCATCCGCCCTTTCAAAAAAAACAAACAAACTTGTCAATCAAGAGTTATAAGGGAATCTAATTCTAGGGTCTCCAAGAGAATGCAAACGCAATGTTTCTCAAAACGCGCAAATGTGTGATAGAATATGCGCCTAGTAAATTAATGAAGGTACTATCAATTGAGCGAACTTTTAATTTTGAAAGCAAGCCTTGAAACAGTTTCTTTCCTTATTTCTCTAAGTGAAGCTATATTAACGTGATTTGCTGAACGCTCGAGAAGGGCTCCGACCCTCCACCACCGGCTTCGTGACAATTAAAGACAGTTAAATAACTCAGGTCTCGCTAGCTGCGCGAGCTCAACTTGTTCGCTGTAATTAACGATGGGCTCTGCCGCATAGACCAGCCAAACACAGTTAAATGTCAAAGGTCTCGGTCGCTGCGCGAGCTCAACTTGTTCGCTGTAATTAACGATGGGCTCTGCCGCATGGACCAGCCAAACACAGTTAAATGTCAAAGGTCTCGGTCGCTGCGCGAGCTCGGCTAAGAGACTTATCTGGCCAGATCCTGGCTCGCTCGGTTTTTGTAAATAATGTTTCCTTAAAAACTATAAACATTATAAAAAGCTTCACTTACTATATCTCGATGATCGATGGCGGCGTTTTGTTCTAACAGTTGCAAGACGATGTCGGTGTGGCCTTCTTTCGCTGCGCACAACAGCGCCGACCAGGAGTCGTTGTCTTCCGCATTGGGATCGGCGCCGTGGGTCAGCAATTCCCGCACCATTGCCGATCTGCCTTTAGATGCTGCCACCATAAGAGCTGTCGTTCCATTCTGGAATTGAAAACTTCCTTTAACGCCCACGTATCTCACAGTGTAATATACTCTTTTGTTGTATTACTTACCTCGTCTTTATCGTCGACTTGCGCTTGTCTGCTTTCAAGAAAAGTTTGCAATCCTCGTAGATTATCATCTTGTATAAAACCGGCGAGAGAACGGAAACAAAGTGATACCATCGACTCGGAACGGTGCAGCGTCTACAATCAAAAAACAGGGCGATTAAAACGCAATAAAAGCGCGTTTGGAGCAAACGTAACTGCCGTAGGTTTATTAGAAAATATTACAAACATCACGTCAAAACGAAGAATGACTAAACGATAATAAACTCACTGATAACGGAACAAATAAATATCAAACAAAGCGGATTTCGTGTTAGTTTTTCGATACACTATTCGTGAATTTGTTTGCCTTCGTAACGTGAAGAAAATATTGCAGTTAGTTGGGCTGGCTTACGAAATTCGGTCTATTTTTAATTTACAACAATAATGTAGCGTTAATTGTTAATGGCGAGGTGTTATGCCAACACTCCAACAAAAACCGTTTTATTTTAATGACAATGAAAAATCGGATGCACATACATTACATAAATTTATTACGAATTCATTCGAGTTTATGGCATAAGTAGGAGGTCTTATCGAATGTATGCATTAATAAATCATTCAACTATTAAATGTTACATTATGCAATAATACACACTGATTTGATTTTATACAAATTTGTAGGATTCACTTTGTTATGTACATATGTACAGTAGGTTTTTTTCATGCAGTGCACAATTTGTAGTTTTAAAAGTGAATTAATATTCGGTTAAATATAATAGAGTAAATTTTAAATTGGCAAAATTGGAAATTAACTACCAAACTTCACGTTTCAATCAACTCTTTATTTGATAACAATTTACTGTACAATTATTACCCATCACGGAGAAGAGAAAAATTTAAACTTTTAGAAAATTAACTCCCTTCTTTCCAAAGAAACACCACGTTTGATCTTTAATTCCAATTTAAAAATTAATCCAGCAAAACAAGGAAACAATCCACAGCTATCAAACGAAACTCCCTACTCGAGACTAACGTTATGGGAGTGCCTTCTGATGCCCAGCCCGAAGGAAAACTTGCTGTGCTCCCCGTCGGGCGAAGTCAACGTGAACGAGGGCAGATGCAAGTGCGTGAGGGAGCCCTTCCAGTTGCACTCCGGAATGTGGAGGTTCAAGAACGACGAGCGGCGTCGTTGCGGCGTCGCCGTCGGAGGGACGGCGATGCTGTGACGGGGCAATATTTTCGGATAGTTTTCACCTTCCGACGACATTTTACCCTCTGGATACATCAAAAAATTGCCATTTTTAAACTGATACTTAATTCTATAAATGTTGAAGTTCAAGTTATCCTAACATATAACTAGTTGGTCTTATACCACCTAAATTACATTACAATTTCTTTAGTACCGGTTGCCCTGTTATATTTTTCCCCTTTTTAAAAACTATGATGTATCATTTTAGATTAATACAACACATAAGTTATCAACTTGTTTATAACACCCTAAATTGTTACATCTTAAAAATATTTCAAGTAAAACACTCGCTACATACACACCAAGAACAATTTTTGACACATTAACATAGAAGTAATTTACTATATCAAAAATTTACTAGATTCACTGACAGTGACATTGTTTGATGAATAAGTAAATGTTTAAGAAAAAATTTTATACCTGCGGGTGCAAGCCGAATATTTTCGTAGAACGGAACATGTTCACGTATTACCGCTTCGAACGGAATCTTCTTAATAAAAAGGTAACAATTAATAATTGTATCGCGATAAAACGAAGCGTTTCTGTTGGGAGACAACAAACTAGCAATAAAACGATGGAGAATCACCAGCCGCGATCGAAATTTATTACGGCGTTTAATTATTTGGTATTCGGAAGCATATCTTGATTGGAATTAAGCGTTAAACGGCTTATAAATAGTGTCAATAGTGAATTTCACGCCCGGTTTATTGGAGCAGATAAATATTGTTGCAACGGGCTCTTTTACGGTGTACTTGTCTCTTGAAATTGAATTTATATTATGATTATTTGCGAAAACATTCTAACGCACGTGCGGGCAATTACGTGCATTCATTATTCGCATCATACTAATGCAACACAATTGATATTAGTCAAACTATTTAATTCATTTTCAAGGGAATTTCCACCAGAAACTCTATTTCTACATGGTGACTACGAAATAATGGAAATTTCTTTTTGAGAAATCGGCAATGGTTTGGTTTAATAGACATAAGTTTATTCACTGAAGTAAATTATAATCTACCTAGACCATAGTCCTACTCATTTATTTTCGTACATATTTATCACCTAACGACCCTTAATCTCTAAATTGAAATCAATCACGATTTATATAATAAATTTGAAAGGATGCAAATGAATGAAACAAAAAATGTGAATCCTCCTTTTTTCATTCTACACAATCAAATTCTTTCAACGGTTATTGCGAATCAAAATATGTAGTTTCAAGATAATTACGACCCATCGTAAATAAGCAACTAATTAAAAACAAGGAATGTTTGGACAACAAACAGAGGGATAAAAATATAAAAGAGTACATAGAACTTTTACGATTCGGAATTAAAATCAATTGTAAACTATCAAATACTGTATCAACAAGGAATAGGAATAATTAATTAGCCATAAACCCTTTCAGCTCAAACTAAACACTACCATAAATTTAGTTAATAACTGATGTGAGTGCAATTTTAATTAACTATACCGGGTGATTACCGAAGCAATCTCGGCTGAAATTAAATTTTTCATACCTGTTCGTTTTGCAACCTAACAGTGGATTTAATAAACTCGTAATAGGGTAACAGTGAGCCGTAACTTCGAGGCCGGCCCAGCAATAATTGAGCGCTCTCCAAGCTGTTCCTCGATTCCCAAGAGCTCCCGGAACTCTTCGAGGTTTTCCTCGACATATCCGGAACGAGCGGAAATTTATGAAAGACTTGCAACTATTTCAACTAACGCAATCCGAACATTTCACGTGAAAACGAAAGAGACGGTCACGTTTTAACCTCATCACAGCGTTTCCTAGCGGCGAAATTGGAAGGTAAACACGAATTTCCAAAACTACATCCGCGCACAGTCAAAATAACATCAACACTTTATTTATTAATTAATGACTTTCTTCTGCGCTATCGAGAAGAATAAATGAGCTGAAATACTACGATTTCGACTTTTTTATTATCGAATTTAGATAAGAGTTATCAATCGTTTTGTAGTTGTAGGTTAAAAGAGTACTGCTAATATAAATGGATTTATCGTGATGGCAGCAGTCTCAAATTCGAATTAAATAAACTGAGTGTCTCCAACCAAAGTAACGAGTTTCCTACGGAAATGTTCCAAGTTTATACAATGCACAAAATATTTTTAAATTAGCGTAGGATATTAAATTTTGTAGAGAATAATATCTCCAATTGTTAATTTTTTCAATAATATTAGTAGATTCAATCAATCAAAAATATATCAATTATTTTATATTTTGTTTTTGGCTAAATTTATTGTAGGTACTTTATACAGTATCGATTAAGATTGTACTGTCTATATAAAATCTTATCTTGCTGCTTAAATAATATCTACTCAATAAGAATTAAAAATTAAATATTTTTAATTTATAACTTAGGGCTTTTTAAGCATTTTTTATTTTTATTTGGACAGTTTCGTGCGTTTAATTTGTTGTTATTTTTATCGAGATCATGTTTTTCCGGATTATTTGTTTTGACCTGCACTGGATTATTACAAATCAACCAAATTAAAAACATTGTAGCAGATATAAAATGCTAACAACCCTAGAATCTATACTACAAACTAATTATATTCACAATTACTCGATAACTCTATTCACATTTATCGCTAATCAAGTAAATACACCGCAAAATGTTCACCATATTTTTACAAAACAGCTTTAAACTGGAATTATTACCTCTTTCACATCACTGGCATGGGCATTGCCAGTACTCCATCTGCACTTGATCTCCTTCCACACTTGCGGTACCTGTTTGTACGAAACGCTCGGTACATGTCTCAAAGGATTACTTCTGTGTGACATTTCTTTCGCCGAATAATACTCATACTTGTCTCAATTAAGGTATATCGCACGCGATGAAAAAACCTTGGAAATGTCGCAGATAAGGAACATATCAAACCGAGATACTGCAGGTAATTCGCCGAACAGTCATATCTCGCGATTTGTACAGGACTAGCCGATGTTATGAAATCATCTCGCGTTTATGTTACGTTAGTAAATAACTATTTACATGCTAATTAAGAATCACCAATCCTGGAAAATCTCCTCGTGTTGTATGAACGTATTTTTTATAGTTACTAACTAGGTAAATTTTTTCAGTTTTTTTTATTATTTACTACAGTTCGTCATATTCTTGTGTAAATGCAATAAAGTATTGTGTCTGTAAATTGTATTTATTTAGTTTATTCATCGACATAGTGTGTACGATTTCATTACAATCTATCAATTTAGATAAATCATATCAGAGTACAAATAATTTATGAACTGTGGTAGATAATACATTTTCATAATTGTTAAGTAAATTGTCTAAATATGCTAATAGAAATGCGATTTTCTACGTCCATTAAACAAATAAAATCATCATGAACTAAAACTTAAATTGCAATTAATTTTCCTCATATACTAACTAATTCACATCCATATAGGTAATATGTATTAGCAAATCTCCAAGTATGTACTTACGTAGTTAAAGCAAATGAATTCTCAGTAAATCGGACGTACTTTACAAATATTTATTGGTAAAAGGAATTCCTCAGATACCTACCTAGACTTCCATTTACAAGTATTTACTCGAACGAGTATCTGTTTAAGAAAGATAAACCAAATTTGCAATGCCTTTCCACTATTTTACAAAGAAAACTAAGAGATTAGTTATACGACTGGAAAAGTCAACAAAACTTGATTATATCGGCACAACTACCCGACCGACCTTCCGATTTTGTGGATTACAAATACTAATAAAAACCGCGTGCACGACTTAGAAATTTGTGGACCTCTTCGCACGCAAACAAAACTTTTACAAGACTTACACAAGAGGCACGGTTAATTTCACCAGAAAATTTGCGATAAGACGGTAGATTAACACAGAAACGATTTACCTAAATAGTTTGTGAGTCTATGCATGAATAATATTCATGATTTTGTTCAATATTTACTCAGAGAGTTTCGGAATTTTTGTACGATTTTTTGCCGATTTAGGTAATTGTAATTTAATAATAATTTACTTTGCAAAATTTGATGCAAATATTGTATTTTCGGAATAAAGTGATGCAAAAACCCAGATGTTTAAAACATCGGGATATTTGTTAAAAAAATAATTTCAATTAAAATAAAATTCTATAAATAACTGTTACACTTCCAGGATACTATTTGCCAAGAACAGATGATAAAATTATTAAAATACATTCGTTGTAACAGTGATTTTTATTACCTGATTTTTATTCACTGATTTATTGTGATCATAAATTGAATACAATATTTTAGATATTTTCAACAATAATTTCTACATCTACAAAGCCTTCAATAATCCATTAAATATATTAAAATATAGACTTGTTTAGTAAGAAATAGGAAAATAATATTTCATTGAATCTTTGTAAATGTGATAAATGCAAATGATAATGCTGTACGTGTGATAACGAAATTCTTTATATCACAAACACGATAAACAATAATTATTTATCTACTTACAAAATTAAGTTTCTTCATTTCGAATTCTCTCCATGAGGTTTTAGGAAAATGATCAAATCGAATGAAAAAATACCATTGACTCGTTCAAAGTAAAATTAACAATGAATTAGTTGTGTAATAGTTATTAAATTATTCAGAGAACGCCATAGATTTAGATAAAAGAACAAAAATGATTAGTTTACCATTTATTTTTATCAAATAATCCGAAAATAATCAAACTACAATTACTGTAGAACTGTATTCGAAAAGGCCAGTGAATTCTTCTCAACAGAGTATCTTTCAGAAATACACTGATAATGAAAGTGTATACAAAAACGAAATAAACATATTGAAACGCACATGTAAGAATTGGTGATATTATATAACCTTTTAATAAAACTTTAAGATTATTGATACATGATATATTATTGATAAATTATTAAATTTTTAATAAATACTACGCCTATTCAACTCAAAACGTAGTAAATTATAGTTAAATGTGATAATCGTGCAGTCCACATGGGATCACAAAAAATCCAATGTGTGTCGTTGGATTATTTTATTATAGAATTAACGTTTAATCTCAGATTTACCTGAAAATATATAAGTAGTACTTACAGATTTTGAACCGCTGTGACCAAAGTACTGAATTGATTCGTACATTGTTTATTGTAGCACAACAATTAGTGATCGATTGAAATATTTATAGCCTACACCTGACTTAACAGATAAATAAAAGAGTTAAACAATAAAGTTTAAATTACCAATTCACACAAAACGGATCTAAAATATTCAGTCAACAATTGAAGAATAAAATTATATTATCAATATATTGAGAGTACCTTGAAATTATTCAAAGATAGTAATGCAAAAGATAAAGCAGAAAAATAACAGACAATTAGATCATATTATATCAAATAGAAGATCAGCACTTTTATGTGTGGCAGGTTAAAATAAAAGTACGTGTATCATCGTTTTAACATTTGCTAAATAGAATTTGTTGTTCGATTGATCATTGTCTTAAATTAAATTTTACGATACCCTAAATAATTCTTATATAATTCAAATGAGTAGTTCTTTTTTGATATCGCAACCAGTGCGCATAATTTCAAAATTAAATATAAAATTCATCAATTCGCATGATAAAAATACACAACAAAAATAAATCATACTTTGAGTTAAACAATTAATATGAACTCACCTATTTAGACGCTTTAGTAGAATTTCCGCTATTTACGTGCTTGGTTAGCTCACCATAAACACTATATTTCAGTCACAAAAAACACTTAAAATAGTTTAAAAAGGACATTTTTTAATAAATTGCAAACTAAGTCATTGAAACACTTTTGACATTTGCCAATTTTGACATTTGACGTATTTCAAAAATATCTACTTGTTAGTGGTCTTGAATGTTGCAAGCAACTAATCATTCTTCTTTTTTCAAAGACACAGAATTATTTAGTTAGAAAAATTACATTTATTTCATACTAATTCAACCAGTTAAAACGTAAATGCAAAATAACCAATCAAATTACTTATTATTAATATTTTCTAGACTAAAATAATGAATTAAATAATGTAAAGAAAAATACTGGTTGCTTCAAATGACGTTGCTGACACATGGCAACTGAGACTAATTTGACATTTGCTTTGTCAATGTCAAAATTGAAAATAAACACAGTAAATACAAAAATTTGAAATAGTAATTTTATAAATTCCTTTTAATGCATTAATTTACGAAAAAGTTATAAAACGGGTGCTTTTCTAGACACTAGTCAACACGATACCACTAAAAAATGGATTTGGTTTCGAATCATCGCTACAAATACAAATAACCAAATACATACCTGGTTAGTTATCGCACCATTACTATTATCAATATAATTAAGTTTTTTTCTCTTATAGTTTAATATATTCTAGTATTTTGAAAATAATGTAGTTAATGTGAGAGAACACTGGAAGTATAGTCACAACCGAAATCTATCTTAATGGTAAAAATTTGGAATTTGGAATTTGCTTACTTAATTAAAACAGTATGTACCTACTGAAGTAAACCAGATTTTGGATTCTTAAAGCCAATAATATTATTTCAGTACCGTTTCTGTATCCTCAACTTCAACAGAAGAAGTTTAAATCGATGTGATATAAGTTCCGCAATGACCGATATTTTATTTTTACATAAAAGATCTCGCTACTCTCTGGCATGAAAGTATTCCATTATTTAGAGCAACTTAAGTAAGTACCCAATTTTTTAATCAAATAATTAAAAGGATAATTCAAATGTTAAAACTTACCGAAATCGTATATATTCCGGTTTTCTTCAATATCCAGGGCATTTTATCCTTTTAAATTTCTCAATTCTCGCACAAAACGTATTTGAGACCTAATCAAATTTACTACATATTCACCATTCAAATGCGTGAATAGTTTTATTTGAATCACTAATTTAATCACAACCTAGTTAATTTTTTAAATTAAAATTCAATTTGGAAAAGCTATAAATATCGCTTTAATTATAAGTTCGTAGAATTATTTTTAATGACAAGAGCCAGGCATGCTTGCAAGCAACGATCCGGAGCTCTTATCAAAATAGACTTCTTTTATCTGTTAAGCTATTTTCTTAATATCTCTATGGCCGAAAATAAACCGAACATTATAAAATACCTGTGATGTGGATAAATTAGAAATTAATTACAATAATATATTCCAGTGAACCATTTTTATTCTACTAATCAATAACTACCCCCAGAGAAAAGGGTAATTATAATAAATTGAAAATTAAACCTACTGAATCATTGCTTAATGGTATAATAAAGTGCAATTTGGTAATTACGTTGACGTAAATAAAATAGTAGATACTATTTTTCTTATCATTCGGTTTCCAAATATTTGTCTTAAAATTTGTTTGAAGTAAAAGCCACTTTCTCCGATTGCAACCACAAACATTGTAAAAAAAATCTAAACCTCATCATGCAAATTTTTCCACAATCTTCAACCACTTCTTTTCCTTATAACTCAAATAATATTTATGCTAGAAATTTTATTCCTATTTCAATAATTAAATAAGTAAATTTCATAATTCTCCCTTAGTTGTTTAAATTACTAATTAGGTCGCACTGAACAAACAAAAGTAGACACTAATTAAGGAGCTAATTAAACATATCCGATACCAACAAAAACGCGTCAAAATAAAATTAAAAAAAAAACTTACACTTCCTAATTGAAAACACCCCTGTGTTTTAACGACCCAAATTAGGGGCCGTCAAGGTACTTAGTGACCACATAGGCAGTACTATTTACTTAGCGGTCCTTAATAACTGGCATCACACAAGTCTAGACGCTAGACAGTGTGACCAAAAACTTTTTGTCGGTGTCTACGAATTTGCCATTTTCTCTATTAGGAAACGTGATATGGCAGACAAAAGAATGCCGTACCGGCAGGAAGCGCCGGCGCCATTTCATTCTTCTCTCCAAAAGGACCCACAAGAAGTGTTGTTACATTTTATGGTTTTTACGATGCAAATTGATTGCGAGATAATGAAACAAAAAAAAATAGGTAACATTTCAATAATTTATTGAACAATAACCTTGTCGCATAAAAAAATATAAATATAAAAAACATTATAAAACATTTAATAGTTTAGGAGTAAAACTACAAGTTATTACTAAAATTTAAATAATCTAGAAGGAAAACTATTGACAACCAGTTATGGCTTTAATCGAAAAATCTGTTAATTTCCTAGGTTTGTCCGGTACATCTTTGGTAGTAGGCGAAGGTTTTTTGGGGATGTAAGGAATTTGAGGGTAGTAATTGCTCCACAAATGTGTCGAATATGTCGGTAAGGAATACATGTAAGGATAATAATAATAAGGTCTACTTTGATCGTAATATCTGCTAGTTTCGTGCGTATCCATCGCAGGCGATTGGAATATTTTAATGTCTTTACTCACATCATTTCCTGCACTCACATCTGACGCAGGACTCTCCAATCTAGCGGATTTCGCGCACGGTTCTTCCTCTTTGATGCAAACCAACTCCTCGTTGTCGATCTTTTCCTTCTCGATGCGCTTCCTTTTGCACTTCGCCTGTCCCGTTTCCCTAAATCCTTTCGCAAACGGATTATTGTCGATCTTCAATTTGGTAACTTTGGCGTTTTGGTAAGCTGTCACGGCTATGAATTGGGTCTCCTCGAAGGATTTGATGCAACACCGCGACCAGTACAGCTCCCTCGGATCGGAGATCTGCGCTATGATGATCATCGGCTGGTACTTGTGCATGGAGGACAGCACCACCTGGCCGGCTGGGGGTGCCACCGTGTTGGTCAGCTTCAATCTACCGAAGGACACCAGCTGGGACATCCAGTAATCCCCCCGGGCCGGCGAGTCGGGATGGAGGTAGGTTCTGTTGGGGCTCTGGAGCTCCTCGGTGCCGGCCGGGAACCACTGGCCCGACGAGGAGTACCTGTAGCGGTTCGGTGAAACCGGCGCCATTTCTAGGAACACGCAGTACAGGGCGTTCGGCGATAAATCTTCTATTTGAATGTTCAGCGATGGAAACATGCGTCTGCAAAAAGAAACGAGTACTTAGTTGGATAATTTGCTCGGGTTGTGTGGCTTCGGCGAAGTTCAAACGAGTAACGTTAGTGGGAATAACGGCGAAATGGCGATTTTTGTATAGCACCTTTAATGCTTCACGGGGCGCTGACAATGCTTTGCGGCGCTGCCGCCACAATGGCTAAGCACTTGTTCGCTGTCCATGTGTGAAAACATGATTCTTATATCGTCAAGTATGGAGTGTCGGGCCGATACCGGCCCTTTGACTGTAAAGGATTAGGTGCATTCTTTTCAGAACAGGTACCACCATTACAGTAGATTGACTAATGGCTTACAATAATGTTTATAAAAAAATAAGAAACAATATCGAGTGCTGTGAAACATTTTTTGATAAAAAAAAGTTCATTATAAAAAGAATTTTATGCGTAGATATTATTTCCGGATAAAAGAAGCTTTATGTCGTAAACCCATAAACCCGGAATTATGTCCCGAACCACAAATTAAAAAAATGTCAAAAGAGTAGGCGCGACAAAGTAGGCAGTAAAAATTGCACTTTAGTCAACAAATCAAGTGCAATAATTACCTACTCTGGTGAAATCTCGAACGGTTGCGAGCCGAAGGCGCCTGAAAATTCGAAATTTGCTTGTTTTACAGACCACTTATAGGGCACTTAAGGAATTTGTTGAAGGGCCGTTTTCAATTGTTTATCTAGGGAAGGAGGATGGCGCCTCAACGGCACAGACGCGACAAATAGAAGTTGCACAGTGTACCCTTCTTGAAAATCAATTAAAAATTTTTTTCATTTCTCGACCGGCTACAGGGCTTCGATTAGGGCGCCGTTCGTGATTTATGGCCCGTGCATTTGCGGGTGACGCTGGCTCAAAAAATGCGGAGGCGACCGTCTGCAGGAACTGATTAAACCGTTTACGTACTTTTAAAGAGTATCGTTATCGCCGGTTGTGCATTTCCTCTTCGAATGTGGGGCGCCAAACGAATGACAAAAGCAATGGACCTGTCGGTAACAACAGACAGAAGAGGCACAAAAGACGGTGTTAGACCATTCTGGCGTCGTTTAACACGTTTAATACACTTGACTTATCGGGTACAGAAGGAGCGCCGCGAAAAGTGAAACTGTGCTTCGCAGAAAAATCGCCAGTGCCGGCTCCTATATAACTGATAGCTAATAAATATTTTAATTTAATTCAATACATTAGAATGTTAAAGTTTGTTCGATCTATATTGGAAGTGGATTATACTGTTCTTAAGAACATTTACCCATTAATCCCTGAATAATGTGCTTGTCAAATAATTCATGATTTCGGTCTAGAATTTCCAACCCACAAGCCGCTCGATGACAATATATTTATTGACGATTCGATTTCTTAGTTTATAATATAATTTCCCATCCCATAGTGTTTCGAGTGCAAAATATCAAAGTTGGGTAAACATTTATTTTGGATAAACATAACATTCGCTTCCCGTTTACTCGGTGTTGATTCGGGCCTACCACAACACGCCCCAGCCTAAATAATCCCCGCATTCGACATGTTGCACATGTGAGTCGGTTTTAATTGTTCCGCTTGTTTACACGAAAAGCCGCAATCGCCGATTGTTTGTAAAAATGTACCAATTTTTGCATTCCTAACTTAACCCAACCGAAATGTTAATTCCACATAAAGTGTTTCACAAAAAATCGTCCAATTAACGCGTCGGTGTCTTTAAGCTGACTAATAATCCAGCTTTGGAACTATGGGGATAAATATCGGATAAGGAGCATCTCGTTTGACGAAAAGAAAATAGTCGGAAACGATAATTCATCGCGCTAATCACGGTAATCAAAAGGGCCTTCCGCTAACGGTGTCAAATTGTTATTACAACGTGCCACACACCATTTTCTGGGATTATAATTAAGAGTCCTAAGAACACAGGGAGCGGCATCGCGACCGACAGGCACCCCGCACCTGGCTCGGCGGACGCCTAGCCACCGCAAATTGCACTCGACTCCGATTTAACAATCAATCTTCCGGGCTTTCAACAAGAAGTTGGTTCGAGTGAATTTTAAAAATGCAAATAATCCATGTGAAAATTACTTACCTATACAGCGAAGTGCAAATTTGTAATCAATGTGGTCTATGAGTATAACAGAGGCAACTTCAATGAGCCTCATATAAAAGCAAAAAAGAGTGATATGAAATTGAAACTTTCTTACTCTAACCATTGTTACTTTAATATTTCTTTGTTCAACAATAGAATTTTTTTGCAAAGAAATTTGCATTTACCTGTATATGAGTAAGTATTAATTATTAGAATATTATCGGTAATTTTTGCCTGAATACTTCATATTTTTTTCTTGCTTTTTTACCCCTATTAAATACTCAATATGAAAGTACCAAGACCATTTTTGAGAATTTACCAATATTATTTTTCTCATAAAATTAACTTGATGTTTAAAAATATACGGAAATATTCAAAAATGATAAGGAAAATATGACAAAACTAATAAGTTCTTAATAAAGCGGGAAAACCCATAAAATTCTTTGAATGAAATATTATGTATAATCCCGATACCTGATGATATTGCTTTTATAATTTCATAAATTTAGATGAGCACAATTCAGAAGAATTTTGCAGTAGGGATTAATTTTCTGATAAATTTGAATAGAATCGGATAAGTAAGAGAAATCAACATACCTGCCAGATTTAGTAATAATCATTTCCGTTCCAAACGAGTGAAATTTCTGCCACAGCTCCTTGTTTTTCAGTGTTACGTTGCATTCAAAGGATGAACTCGATGCTGAAAATAATTAATAATTTCAGTATTCATAAAAAATATTTTCTTCACTTGAAACTTTTGAACAAGTTGAACAACTTGATTGTTATTAAACAATATTATTTAAATATGGGAAATACCCAACATAGATAAAAAAAGATAAAAAATATACAATATAATAAATACTTAATTTAAAGATCAAATTGACTTAAAATTATTCAGTACTATTTTAATAAAAAAACCAATAAAAATAAATAAAATTCTCTTACCTTCGTAACTCTTGTAATAAGGGTGATTCACTCCTAAGTTCAACATACTGGACAAGTACTTAACCATCAACAACAAACAAGTAACAACTACGAATTGGTGCTATTGTTTAACATACAACCCGACACTGTCACCCTTAGAAACAGAATAACAAACCCTATGAGTCGTGAACATCCCTCCAGAGCCTGGAATGGGTGGTACCGGCTAGGTAATAGGTTCCTGATTGGCCGGCGAAATGCATTCTACGGGTAAACTTTGCTGTGTTTGGCTCACAGCTTGGTGCCCGGTTGATTTGTTTGTGATTAGGTTTGTTGATAAACAGATAAGGGAGTGTTGATTTATTTATCGAAGCTCTATTGTGCTTTCTAAATTTTCGAAAATTTCAACTTACCTTCCTCCTAATTCTTTTACACATTATGTTGTTTAGTAATAATTTAAGCGTATGTGTGTTGACGAATTATTGCGAAGACACCTATAGTTAGTTCTAGAGAATTTATTCAGGAAAGGGTAATTAAAAGGTAATTTGTATTAGCCATAACTGTGAGATTACGTGAATTGTCAATTAAATAGAATTCCATTATTATTGCCCCTTTGTCGAGGTAAGAAGATTAGTGATTACCAAAAATTCCCAAAATTACCACGATTTCTGTAAAATTTTTACCTGACTAAAAAACTAACATTGAGCTTCGAAAATTATCATTTATTATAATATAATCCACCTCTACAAGTCTTCTACAGTTCCTATTTAATGTAAAAATGCGTCATTTATATACCTACTTACATACACATAATAATTGTTTACAAATTATAAGCATTATTAATTCTTCCTCTCCTCTTGATGGTGAGCTTGGTGTTCTCTAACACTCCCTTGATGAAGCTGGTGGTGTTTCTCCTGAGTATGGAGCTGGTGACCGTGAGCCCTCTCCTGGTGATGAGCTCCGTGAGTCCTCTCCTGTTGATGGACTCCGTGAGTCCTCTCCTGTTGATGGACTCCGTGAGTCCTCTCCTGTTGATGGACTCCGTGAGTCCTCTCCTGTTGATGACCTCCGTGAGTCCTCTCCTGGTGATGAGCTACGTGCTCTTTGGCTTCGCCGTGAAGATGATGGCCGTGGGCTCTGTCCTGGTGCTGAGCCGCTTGGTGGTGCTTGGCTTCAGCGTGAAGATGGTGATCGTGGCTCCTGTCTTGGTTGGGCGCCAGGTGAGATTGGTGAGGCGCTCCGTGATGTCTGTTGCTCGCGAAATGGTTCAGTGAGGAGTGATGGGAACGCGATTGTTCTGAATCGAAAGTATAATTAGCGGTTTTAAATAATTTGCGGGAATGAGAAACTTACCTGTGGGTCCTCCTCTGAAGGTTCTTCCGCCAGCGCTGCAGAAGCATGGACAGGCTGGGAAACCTAAAAATAATCGTGTTACGTTTCCAGATTATCTCCTCATATACGAGTTTAACTCACTTTCGGTAGTGGAACCATTGTCGTCAGAACCCGTCGTAGTTTCAGCGGGTTGTTCAGTCGTGATAGGGTAGGGCGAAGAAGAATTATCAGGTGTGGTAGTTTCCTCTGGTTCCGTCACTGGGGCGGGCGTGGTGGTTTCGGATCCCTCCGAAGTAGTTTCCCCACCGCCCGGAGTTGATGCTTCGGTGGTGCTTTCTTCCCCTGCGGTAGTACCTTCGGTACCTGCAGGAGTTGCCGGTGTTGCCGGAGTTGCCGGTGTCGCCGGAGTTGCCGGTGTTGCTGGAGTTGCCGGTGTTGCTGGAGTTGCAGGTGTTGCCGATGTTGCAGATGTCGGAATGGTTACGGTGCTTGTTTCACCTCCACCGGGTGTTTTGCACACGATTTTACATTCTCGATTTGCTGAGCGTTTGTAAATCCCCTGATATCCCTCTAAAATAGGATATATTTTTGATTGGTCGAAATATAAATTGATTATGAAATTATAAATTAGTAGAAATTGAAGTGGTCAATTGATTCGCTTATACAGAGTTAAAATTCAAGGGTAATGAAATTGTAAAATGTAGTTAATTAAGGAAAGTTGTGAATGTTGTTTAATCTGTTAGGTTCGGCTTTTTTCTGGTAGAAAATATGTAGCAAAATTAATGTATGCTTACCTGTATATGTTGCGGCTACTACTAGTGCCAGCCAGAAGACAGCGGCTGTCCTTAAGCTCATTTTTAGCTAACTGTCGGTCTACAAGTTAGCAAGGAATAATTTTTTGCATTTAAATTCGACTTTTATATACCATTTGCAAGTAATGTTAGTATTTTAGGCATCTCGCATGTATTAAAATCGATAGATAATACGCTTCAATTAATGCAAGAATTTTGTACAGAAGGAGAAATTTATTTTTATTACCTTCCTTAAATTGTTTAATTTGGCTTTACTATGAACTGAAAATCAAATTGCGATATTTTTATTTGAACTGGACTTTTTAGAATATTGAATTTTACTCATGCTACTAACAATGTTTAAAAAATATGTAGTATTTAATATTGTATATTCTTTATTAAATTAGATCAAACATGTAACACTCTGTATGTTCAATAGCAAATAAACATCCTATTTTCTATGTAAAACGTATAATAGATGCAAGTATTTTGTAAATTTTTCTTGAAAATTAGACTTTATCCTTTATCGATAAGAAAAGGAACGCTTTCCTACGTATGCTTAAATTTTTTCGATTGAAATAATTTGAATAAATATTTACGACCGATAATAATTGCATGCGATATTTCACAAACATAGGAAAGAATAGCAGGAATAATTCTAAATGTTGACACAGTTGCCTTGAAACGTTTTCAAACGATATTAAAAGTACCAATATGAAAATATGACAAAACCAATAAGTTCTGTATAAAGCAGGAAAACCCATAAAATTCTTTAAATAAAATATATTCTGTATAATCCTCTTATGTAAAATATGAAAATATGATTCCTTTCTTTGCACATTTGATTTTATTGAATTAAGTTTTTTGGGTTCACAGAAACTCTAAAAATTCAACGAAACATTTAATTTTCTAAAAAATTAAAACAAAAATGATTTTGATATAGTACAAAGATAATACTGGTTCAAATTAACATATTCAAGCTTCGCAGGCCGTTCCTTTGATGGCTTCGTCGACAGTCATCCTTAAAATCCTGTAATTCACTTGATTCGGATCCAATTCTCTGTATATAAATACCGGCATTCTATCTGAAAGCACCCACAGGTTCCTCTCAGCATCAATCTAAAACACAAAAATCATATAAGAAATAACTTAAGGACATTTTAATAACCGCAGTTAACGATTCTGCAGTATTTGGAGAGAAAAAACTCAAATGATCCTTACTGAAATGTCGTTAGTAAATATTAATTTTTCGTGATCTTGCGTCACCAGAGGAAACGTGTCCGGTTGTAATTTCGTTCTCGGATTCCAACAAGCTATCGCGTCCCTTTGCAGCTGCGTCATGAACAAAACGTTCGTTTTTTCATCGAAAGCCGAAGAGGACGACTGGCCCACGTCGCCTTTGCCGCCTTCCACCTGAAATACCCATCAAAATAATCATAAAACTTCCAGAAACATTCAGTAAACGCACTCACCTTGTATAATTCGAACGATTGCGGGTCAGTAGCCAAAGATTCGTTACGCAGGATCTGCGTACTAACGGAGAATTCGGTGCAACTGGCCAAGGGATGGAAATAAGCTGTGCGGTAACTGCAAGAGAAATTAGCATAATTACTTCTCGAACAGTAATGAGTGTTATTCTCTTACCCGTTTTCATTAAGAGGACCGAGAGCGATACCGAAGACTCCGTCGGTCCATTGGAAGTTAACTCCACCAACGGTCATGTCTCCTTTGAGCGGATCGAAGTGGAAGTAATTGTGCTTCACCCTCCACGATTTATCCTCCGCCAAAGAGTACACCACGATTCCGTAGCCCCCCAAATCGGGAATGTAAGCGAAGGCTTTGTCACAAGCATCTTTTGTAACGTCCACAATCTACGAACACATTTACCTACTAAGTGACCAGATTCATGAAATACCAAGAAGGGAGTAAAGTAGCAAGATTTTAGGTACTACAATTGATCTATTGGGAACAAACCTGGAAGGATATTAGCGATTATGATATTGCTTACGATATTAGCGAAAAACGAGTCGTCCCCTTTGATGTCGTTCTCGCCCAAATTGTACCTCTTCAGTAGCTTATCGGTGTTGAGGTCGAAGATAGCTATAGAGGGCGGTATGACTTGGTTGGGGTTGCCCAAAATATCCGCTAAACCGGTCTCCATCACCCACAATCTATCGCAGACGTCCACGTTGATCCTGAACACCGACACGATCTGATCGTCAGCGGGCGCCTCTCCTTTCCCGGGGATCCGATTGGCCTTCCAGCTCGGATAGGGCACGAGCGCGGGCGATTTATCGGTCGCGTTCAGCGGGATGTAGTTCAAACTGGCCGCCACTCCCGCTTTCCATCTGCGAAACATAACTTCGTGTAATAATAAATTAGTATACGAGTCGAGTGGGTTATCGAAATCAGCTTTCTAAAATCCGATTACACTTGCATCTTCTAGAGTGGACATAAAAAATTATTTACTTAGTTATGCATATTCCGAAAATGAAAGTAGGAACCTAAAATGTTCGATAAATACAGGGTGGTTGATTATGGCTGAATTGCAGTACCTGGGAACGGTAACGAAGAGTTTGTCCTTCCATCGGCCCAATCCCAGCGGCAGGTTGTTCTCCGGTACGTAATCCCTGGTCTTCAGGGCGGCGGTCTTGGCGTCCTCGTCGGGCCAGGCGAAGCTCAGCTCCTTCCACTCGAAGACGTCGCCCAGTTGCGCGGAGACCGCGGCCAGAAGGGCGCACGAGGACAGCGCGAGGTACTTCAACATTTCGTTTTCGGCGCGGAAAAAACTGACCTACGTTCAGTGGAAATGGCCGCTCACTGAGCGCTCTCAATGAAGAGGTACTCTTATTTCAAGTTCTCCTTCCTCTCTTCTGCTGGCGGTACCGCCGGAGCGAATCGACGCTGCGAAAGTTAAATTGCGCGATCGGGATGATATGGAATATCTCGACGAGATTTCGTGTGTGTGCAATTAATTGCAAATTGATTTCCGATTAGTTGATGTAAACAATTTTGAGAAAACGGATTCGTCGGGTTTTCCGTTCAGTTTGATTGTTTCAATTTTCTTCTGGTATCTTCATTTACCTTATTGATTATTTTATTACGTAATTAATATATTATATTTACCTAGAATAATATGCCATAACAAGTGAGAATAATGAAAATTGACCAGAATATTGATCAGTAATAATTTTGATCATTTCAATGAGCTACATCCAATCTTACAGTTATTCAAATTAATCCGAATTTTACAATTTCAAATCACCCTATATACTTTAAATGATGTAAACCAATATTTATTGTCCACTTCACGCTAAAAACGTTTAATTGCGGATTTATTTCTGCTACGGTTGAATGGATAATTACTCAAAATAAGTGTTACGAGCGATGGCCGTTTCTAACGAGGTGCATCAAATTCTCAGCGATTTGTTTATGTTAAATACACGCTTGTAACGGACATAATAGGAAAGCCTTGTACATATCAAACGCGTCAATGACCCAAAAACGTATCGAAATTATTATAAAAAAAGTTACATAAGCGAGGAAACTTATTAAACATTGTAAATACAAGAAGAATAGCCTTTAGAGGAGGTGTTTTCGTTCTTGCTCCAAATCATGAGTGGCTATCTACAAGGTTTGAGGAAAAAAATTATCGCCAATGAATATTAAAAGCTTATGGAGCTTTTGTAAACGCCCTGTATAGAGGATTCTTGTGGAACACCTTCTGAAACGCCTCGAATTTCTTGAATGACTCGAAGGTGTTTCCTATAGTTTTGCAATGGAAGTTTCCTCCTACATATTTTTGATGATCGAATCTAATTAATTTAAGGATTTTTGTGCGGGGTACATATTTGGACATCTAAAGGTAAATTTAATTGCCTATATTAACTACAGTAGATAAGTAGTAAAAAAATTTGTCACCTCATTCAACGCTTGGGTAGGTAACTAATAGAATAAGTAGATCTGCTGTAGAATGACAGTACAGATATTGTTTGTAAAAAACTCAGATAATAATTGCAAGAACTAGTTAATAGCCTTGAAATAATAGGCATTTTGCGTATCTACTTACATACATGAGGTATCGCCTTGTCCATGATTGGCATTGCAAATAAAATATTAGTTTCTTTTAGATCCATTTGCATACATTTACATTGCAGGTATACATTCAAATCGAACGCGTTGCTTAAGCTACAGCTAAAAATTCATTACATATCCTCTAGTAAGAATATTCTTCGATTATATAAATTTGTTGATTTAGTGGCTTTGAAATGAAGGATCCATACTGATATATTTTTGTACCTGTGTATAATTATTTTAAATCGTGATATAATAGTGAAAATTTCGTAACCGAAATAGGATTATATTTAACACGTTTCTGTTAGATTTAACACTTATCATCAGATATTTTATATTATCATAAAATAATTACGCGTTTGTCCTCGAATGAGATTATAGGAATCGACTAATAATAGTAATTGTTTTATTTTAATAGATCGGCCAATTAATAGCTCATGTTTCTTAATTCGTTTTGAAATAATTAAACGTATGCATGAGATTATGTAATGCAAAACAATTGCATTGTGTTTAGATAAAACAAACGCCTGCATTTACACGTAATTACCAGCATAATTTTCCAAAGCAACCCTTACCCAATAACCTGAATAACTCATTAGTAAATTCCTCTTGTAAATTAATTAATAATTATACTGGCATTTTTTGTGAAAATTGGCGGCTTCACCGAATGGCAAATCGCGCTATTAATAGAATTTTTAGCATTTAGTGACAACTTCCCAAAAAGTAATTCCGAAAATCAGTAATTTATTATTTATAACTGATTTTCGAAGGTATAATTAAAAAAATCTCATGCTATCGAAGTCCTTGGGTAATTCAAAATTGGGTTGAAATTCTAATAAATGCCGCAATCTAGCAGTTCGTTAACAAACTCATTATTAAAAGAAATAAACAAAGCGCATAAAAATAATAACGGGTTGCTGGTCGTATTCCCAAACGCAACCGACAATTACCGTGGAAATTACACTCTTTAGCGCGATTTACTTCGTAAGTTACGCATTCATAATGCAAGATAAGGTATAAATACAGGCGGTATCCGAGTTTACGTAAGATTCCTCGTCGCAATGCGACCCGTACTATTGCTTTTGACACTCTTTAGAGTTATCACAGGAGACCAGCAATCTGTAACAGTCGATTTGATAAGCGATTTTCTGCTCAAATTAAACGCTCCTACTAAAATAAACGCTCACATTTGCTGGCCCAAAGGTAATCTTCACACCTCACCCACTTTAGACACCATTACAGATCTGTTTGCGTTTTAGAAGAGCAGATTGCTTTGTTAAAGCGGCTTTCTTCAAGCAATTTTGGCTGCAGAATCGGGAATTTCAACAATATAAGCTATTCAACTCCCGCCGAACACCAATTGTTCCTATTGGATTTAAGCTGCAAAGGCTCAGAGAAGATACTTAACAAAGTATAACAAGTTTAAGTCCAATGATTTATTTTGCACGAATTGAACATAAATAAGTCCAATTTTATCTAAATTTCGACACATAATTTAATTCAGAAACGTTCTATTTGGGTTTTTTTGTAGGCCAGCGAATTGAATCTGTTCAATCAACCGTTCAGATGGCTGATGTGGGGCGTAATGGATCGCTCGATTCTCGACAATTTCTACATTAGGTTGGACAGCCGGGTTTTTATTGTGGAAAAAACGGAAACGGACGCGTACCGCATCGAATCTCCGTACAAGGTAACAGAAAATTCGCTGGAATATTCGATGAACCACGTAGCAGAATGGAATCGAATCGGCGGCTTTTCTGTGTACAGGGAATTGTCTTATTCGAGAAACAGGTCGAATCTGATGGGTTTGAACATTAACATATCCTACGTCGTTACCAATAAAGATACTATGAATCATTTGGAAGATTACAGGTAGATATTATTAAGCTGTAAAGTGGGCAATTGTGAGAATACGGTGATTCTAGGAACAAACATATTGATCCGATATCGAAGTTGAATTGGTTTATAATGAAGCATCTTATCTCTGTGTTAAATGCCACGTCTACCCCTTTGTTTCAACCTAGTTGGGGATACAGGGATGTGAATGATTCGACTAAATTTACAGGAATGATTGGGGATTTGCAGTCGGGAAAAGCAGAATTTGGAGGTATAACTCTTCAGGAGAAACTTTCACAGAAAGAGGATATTCAGGGTCTTAGAAAGAAAACTTGACCCCCCTAACTAGAGAACCGTATTTTTTTTTTACATTCGCTGAGACTCGTCAATTTGTGGTCTTGGGATTTTTGACAGTCAATTCAACTCAATATGTTCATCCCCCTACGCCCTAGCAACTTTATCATATGTTTACTTAAGGGGGTGAAGTTTTCATTGATAGACCCTGTACAGGGAATCTCAATTTTATCTTTTTGTGCTCGATGGGTAGGCAACTCAATATACGTACTGAATTAACCCGTTGACTGCCAACATAACGAGATAACTCGTTCTTGCCCAGGACGCCGAGTACGAGTTATCTCGTATTAATATAATATGATTTAAATGATCTTGGCTTCTTAGACCGGAATCTGAAAATTGATATGTGAGATGTGCAGGAGAGAAGACAAATGTGTTGCCTATCTACCAAACGTAAAAGATTAAAAATGATTTCACTCTGGTGCTTCCCCAATACTCCCCAATATGAAACCTCTGCCTACCCTTTGCATTTTTACTATACCAGAATTAACCGAATATGGTAGTATCATCCCTGTAACCAAACTTTCTTAATAATGTACTCTACAGGAACAGCATTGTTCTTCACCATCGACAGAATAGACGTGATTGAATACATTGCTCCCAGCGTTCCGACCTTCATGAAATTCATCTTCAGAGCACCGCCGCTTTCTTACGTATCCAACGTGTTCACTCTGCCTTTCGACACCTACGTGTGGTACAGTTGCTTTGGTCTGGTACCGCTAATATTCGTGGTGGTTTATGTTATTGTGGTTTGGGAATGGAAGGATCCAGTGTTTAAGGAGAAAGTCGGCGAAATGCACGCAAACTGCATCAGCCCTTTGAGGCCCAGTTTCATCGACGTCTTAGTCATGGAACTTGGCGCTATTACCCAACAAGGTAAGAGGCCGCGTGATGCGTGTTGGAGCGGAGTAATTTGATTTGTGCATTACTTTTTAGGAACCGATACCGAACCTAAGAGTAATGCGGGTAGGATTGCTACTGTTTTTGCGTTTATAGCTTGCATGTTTTTATACACTTCTTACTCAGCCAATATAGTTGCTATTTTACAATCGACCACAGAAAGTATAAAAACTTTGGATGATTTGTTGAATTCCAGGATTTCTCTGGGAGTAGAAGATATCGTTTATGCTCACTATTACTTCAAGGTATTTGCAGTTAATTATCAATGCTTATAGTACAAATTCTTGCTTCTAGACGGCTGAAGAACCCGTAAGAAAGGCGATTTATCAGCAGAAAATTGCACCGAAAGGCCAGAAACCGAATTTCATGACCATCGAAGATGGGATGAGTAGAGTTCAAAAAGGCTTCTTCGCTTTCCATGTCGAAGTCTCCAACGGGTACAAAGTGGTAGCAGATACGTTTCAGGAAAACGAAAAGTGTAGTTTGAAGGAAATAGCTTTCATCAATCTCGTGGAGCCTTGGGTGTCTATTAAAAGAGCGTCTCCCTATAAAGAAATAGTCAAAGTAGGGTAAGTCTTTGATTATACATATGCTTTCGTGTATCACTAATTTCAATTCAACTAGATTGAGGAAGATTTTAGAATCTGGCATTCAACGAAGGGAAATCAATCAACTGTACACGAAGAAACCGGTCTGTCACAGCAAAGGCAGCAACTTCGATAGCGCTTCGATACTGGATTGTTACGCCGCTTTTCTCATCTTCGGCGCCGGATTAGCCGTCAGTTTCTTATGTCTAACATTCGAGATACTGTTACATAGAAAATTCAAACGCCTAATGTCATCGAATGTTGTTCTTAATTACGAACTACCAAATGACGATGAGCTCGCTAAAAGTAGCGTTTATTGAACATTGTAGTATTGTAATTAGTGTAGTATTTGAGTAATTTTATCACATATAAAGTAGATGTTGAAACGCTTGTGATTGATTGTTTATTTGTAAACAATGCAAACATCACGGTTTGTAGAATAATATTCTACAAACCGTGTGCAAACATAACCTTATTTCAATTTTGGCAAGAATAATTGAAGTTGACAAGAATGACAGTTGCTTAATATATAACTTCACACTCATTTTTATGCAACCAGTTATACACTAATTGTTATAAGTGTTGTCTATACCAACTGATTGTAATTTAGGAATTTGCCGATAGGTGCTGAACAATGCATCGTTGCCTTATCAGCGAAATTTCAACCATTCTATGGTACACCAATAACATTTCAAAATGAATCCGATTACAACTAAACAAATGTTTAGATAGCAACGTATATTTTAAACAAACATCTTGAATTTATCATCAATCAGTATCCATTCATATAATACGTACTTACAGAATTATTAAATTCGAAAAGTTTTATCGGTTACACTACGTTTTACCTGTAGACATTTGGCAACACCGAAACTGCAACATTCCATTGATAGTTGTCATGTCAGCCACATGCCACATGCTGGTACTCCGACAGCCATTGGTTAGAACATACAGGTAGCCGGAGGGGGGAAAACTCGTTTGAAATTTTTAGTTCGTAAAATACAGCGAGTGAAAGCAAACGTTTCACGACTTGGTGGTGTTTTGTTTGTTTCCAAAATAGCGCCCTTGTGCACAAAACCGTTGGTGCGAGTGAACAGAAATCTATCGACGTCGGCGGGGAGTTACCGTTCGCGAATTCGCGGCCCTCGAGCCACATAGGTGAAGTGAACGTTAAAATGGCATCAATTACACTTACCTGAGCTGCTAGCGCGACTATATATTTTTTTTTCGAAAAATGAAGGTAACCGTTTGTTTCGGAAATGTGCGTGTTGTAGTGCCTTGTGGTGACGGAGATATCTTGGTGAAAGACCTCATCAGAGAAGCTACTTTGAGATACAAAAAAGCAACGGGAAAGGTAAGTTTTATTTAATGTTTGTGTACTGTTTTTTGTGGTTATGTTTTTGTGGCAAACGCAATGCAGGCGGTTACCTTGGTGAGGTGTAAATGTCTGCGGATTTGTATTTATATTATGGTGTAACGTTTGGCATTTGGGCTGTTTTATTTACATTTCTACTGCAGGTAACGAGATATTTCGAAACGTACGTCGATAAAAATCTTAACTAAAGGTAAAATCTTACCAGCTAGAGCTAGTTGGTTCATTCAACTTCCTATTTTGTTGCAAAATTTACAATGCTTGTAAATGTTCATGCTTCATTCTATTATTTTCTTAGGTACCTGCCGATTTTGACAGTGTATTGCTTTTGCAACACCTTTTTTTTACTAAAATACCTATAACTCTGGTGTAATACCCTTGAAAAAGGTATTTTTTCATTAAAAATATCCTCTTTAACAAAATTATAATTCAAAAATGTCGACGAAAACCTTTTGACATTAACAAATGTTGCCAAATCTGTCAAAAATGTCAAAACCCGCAAGATTTAATAAGTAAATAACTTATCTTTCAAAGGTAATTTCAATGTTTATCCTAAACATTTAAAATTGATAATGGAAACAAAAATTGCTATATTAAAGCTGTGAGTTAGAGTATAACATTATCCAATATAACACCCTGTATACAAACAATAATTTCGCCATTTTTTTTCGCAATATTTAATGAACATGCATACCTGACCAATTTTTTTTTCTATATTAGACATGACATTGAATAATTTTTCTATTATTCTGACTATGTCGAAAGAGACGAAACGTTTCCGTTCTATTTGAATAAATGACGTACCCACAACGTTTAATTTCGAATTAATAACTTTTTAATTGTGTATTCTTTTCGATTAATATTATGCTAATTTATGCGATTCTCACGTAAACACAATAACTAAACTGTATCGTTTAAGAAGAGCAAAAATTTGTACGTGTGCGCGGTCTGATTATGTGCGAATTACCACAATTTATGGGCATTTATTAGTTCAGAAATATTTACATACACATGTTTATAATATTAATTTAGATGATTAGGTGTAATTGTCAATATTATCGCAATTCTGTCATTAATTGACTAGCATCAGACTTTGTAAGTTTGTTTATTTTGCTTGAAATTTAAATACCTCTATAAAAATTAATTATGATAAATTCGGAATCACAAATTGAACACAAAACTGCAATAAAATTAGCAGTGAAATCATCCTGACCTGACCTGATAAATTCGGCAAAAAATCAATAAAACTACCATTTGATTTTCCTAATAAGTAGAACACAAATTCCACCTACTGTAGAAATATTCCCGAGCTCGAATATAGGAAGCTACATTTCAAAACCAATCTTTTTATCCGCATTTTAATAGAGCTGAAAGCGTAGGCGCGCCACTGATTGGGGATCATTTTTGTTGATGCGAAAGCACCTGAACGATTCCTTTTCGAAAAGTACCTACCAAACCGACGCGACGGTTGGGTAAAATGCGGCTCACGAGGAAATAAAAGGGCACCTAGGCATACGCACGCACACAAGAACTGAGTCATTTGATGTACTTATACAAAGGGTCAGCAGATGTTAAAACCGTTGGCGCGCGACATCAACCAGCAATAGGTGTTTTATTTAATAAATCTCGTCCTTATTTCCTCCACAATAAAGAATAATTTGGTAAATTAGCATATAAAGGGTGCGCTTCTATCTTGTAACTACGAAAGAGGGAAATAGCTCGAGTATTAATTAACTGTTTGAAGTGTTTATTAACCTAATTGTTTATAATCTCCCTTAATATTTCTTCCTTTATTTCCCGCATTAACTCGTGCCAATTTAAAAAAGTTCAAATTTAATCTAAATCGTGACAAACGATATCGATGCAATGCAAAGATATACACAACTTATGTATTTACAATATAATCGTAGGTACTATAACCTTGAATATTGTTTATTGTTGTTCGATATGCGGCAGCTTGGTTTATATTAAACGATATTAATAAACCATTAAAAGGTGTATTGCCTGCATTGGAAATGTTCGGATAAGAGTTCAATTTATGCCAAATGTAGATAACCGAATGGTTCTAATTTGAAATAGAAAAATCAAGAAATTTCTCATAAGTAAAAACATTCAAATTAAAACGCTCGTTTTTATTGATTTCCGTTTAGAGAAATCGATTGCATTTTCTCGACATATCCATCCACGTAAGTACAAGCAGAAGGCCGAACGTCCATAAAATATTTCAAATTTATTATATACCGCATTCGTCGTTTTGTTATGTATTTTTTTTGTAATTCAAATATTGCATACGTAAATCTTTGAGATAATAACGAATGCAGGACATGCTTTTAGCTGTAACGCGATATGGAGGCGTGCTCGAAATGATTTAGGAGCGTTTTTCTAGTACTTATACAGTAACTGTCAATGACTGGACACTGAGTAATCGGTTTATTAAATATAGAATGATTATTATCTTCCTACTGTATAGATTATTGAATGTATTTAATTGTCGCCCATTTTAGAAGATACCTAAATGTTTATTAAGTACCTACATAATATTATACATAAACATTTTTTACTTTTTAATGTGGGTATCTAAATGAGGGAAATTGCAAGAACTCGGGATTGTTTCGAATCGAGAAAATCACAACAATCGGCGTTTAGAAACTATTTCTGAATTCCGCTCTATGACTAAGAAAGGTATGTCGCTGAAGAACAAAAACACTACATGACCTGAGTGGGAATTGCAATTGAATGACAAATCCCGCGGAATCGTAAATGCTAAGCGATTCCACTTCGGCCGCTTTAAACGTACAAAACGGTCGATTTTAATCGGACGAGCAAAATTTCTCTGCGTCAATTCGATTAGAAAAGCGCTCTAAATTGCGACCAATCCGACGATTTTTTTGCCTGTTTCATTTTCTCTATTTTATGGCGTAATTTATTAATATAAAAATTGAATAGTCAAAAAATTGTCCTGCTGCATTCGTGCCCCGCAGGAATCACGCAAGTATAGTTACACGTAGGAAGCAGGTGCAATATTAATGGTAGCAGGTAGACCGAAAAAATACTTCTGCTGTAATTACAATGCGTACGCGAAGAGGCAGGAGAAGGTTCTTAATAGAAACAGTAATATATTTTAACTTTTATTGTTGCATATACCCAAAATTTGACAATAACTTTTTTTACGTGGAGATATCTAAAGGAACAAAAGTCACTTATTATTAGAAAAACGTTGATGAGAATTATAAAGAAGAAACAGGAAATCTATAAAATATTTACATTCAGTATTTCCAATTTCGGTATTGGATCGGAATCGCATTTGATTTATCCCGATGGCCGTGAACTGGCTCAAAGGGCGCGCCTCAAGGACCCATTTTCGGCGCTGTGGGACACTCTGAGTACACGCAGAAATTCGATATGTGTGCATTTCTCTTCGGTGGTGAACGATAAGCCGGCGTTTTACGTGGAATTCGCGAGCGTTGGCGTTTCGAGGGCCGTTTTGGCATTGTTGAATGTTTAATTTTTATCGAGGCGAGTCGGCCGATATTCGTTTGGCTCGAATTTCGAAGCGCATTCGAGTATCTGGAAAAATAATATTTGTTTAGTTGTAGGTTGGATGCTGAGTATTGCAGAAAAAAAACCGTGTGAAAAGGATTTTTTTTAATATCTGTACGTATTCGATACTTAACAGGAAATGATTTGTCGATCAAATAAAAATTTCGTGGGAATCGGATTAATTTTCATACTTGTCGTAACGAATTTGTAATCAGTTCAATTAATAACAAATTCAGATGACTAGCTTTTATATTTATTTACTATTTGAAAGCGAGATTCGTAATTAGATAAATATTTATTTGCCTTATCTAACTTGCGAATTTAAGTACGTTTATAGTACCTACCCATTTATTTACTACAAAATAAACAATACCTACTACATATTTTTTGAGATTTTTGAAATGTACTACAACAAAACTTTTCATCACTCATCACCTAGATCAATATCGCTTGTTTTGTTCATAAATCGAATAAAAATGGAAAAACCATTCTTTGATTTCGCTCGCTTCATCGCCTGCAGATAAGCTATTATTCGAATAACGCAATTTGAATGGGAATAAATTACACGGAAAATGATTCATGCAAGAATTTGTAAGTATTGTTGGAGTGTTACAGCTTACGAATCTGCGTATTCAGACGTTCACTTTGAATTATTTGGCAAATATAGCAAGAAAAATCTCTATTCATCTCAATATTCATCTAAATAAGGAATCTAAGCATATTAAACAACGTGAATATGTTGTTATTGATAAATTAAAAAAAATCTGAGGTACCTAATCGATTATAGTTGATTAAATGATTTTTTATGTAATGGAACTAACAGTTTAATTAACGTTAACTTTCCTATTCTCAAGACCTATTTTAAAAATACCTTAAATAGCAATGAATTATTTTAATTTTTGTTGATATTTTATACAAAAATTAATCAGCAAACGAACATCATTAATTAAGTCCATATGACGTAAATTGGGAATTATTCGAATTGTTGCGTTACAACGGTTATTAAAACTGTCCTTTTATCCGCTATAATATACACCAGAAGGAAACCTCATAATTTTTATCTATTATCTGAAAACACGGAAGATTCATTAAATATGAGATGAATAACCTCAAACGCTCGCAAATAAATCAGTTTGAATACTTCTCCACCATAAAATTTCTTTATTTAACTATACAGTATACAAGATGTCCACCAAATGGACACTGGTTATTGCAAAATATGTAGGTTTAAAAAATATATAGGCCATCATCTAATAACCACGAAAATTGCCCAATTAGGAGCACTCTGTACAATATGCATTTCTAAAATTGGATTGTGTTCGGTTTCTAATCGATAAATCGCGGTAACATTCTCACATATTCTCTCTCAATATCAACAACCTGTTCATTAAAATATGCTTCATTTCGTTGCATCACAACATTCGAGCTTGTATATTATTACTTATATTTTTTTCGCCAATCTATGGGTTCCGTTAATTCGAAACAAGTGGGCAATTCTACGGCGTTCCAATTGCACAATCGAATATTTTAAATAGCTTTTTAGCGAACAAACCGAACGATTAGAAATGAAAGTTTATTAACGTCTCGTTATGTTGGTGTGTTTATTAATTAAAGTGGAACTTTCAAGGTAAATAACTCCAGTTTATTGATG